GTAGGTCCCAAGAGGACGGAGTAGTGGGATCAATAGTGGGATCAATGGACAGTTCCATATGGATGAGGTGGCATAAGTGAGCAATGAGCCCAAAAGTTTGGGGGGCTGGGTGTGTATGAGTTGTTAGTACCTAGTAGTTGGAAGATAAGATAACTGAGAGAGAATGGAAACGATCGTTCATTAAACAAATTTGTCATCGAGAGGTTTACTCTATTTTCTTTTTTTGACCCTATTGAGATGTTCTTGTTGATATTCTTGATGTTCTTGATGTTCTTGGAGAAGTTAGTATCTCCCTCCCTCGTTAACCACAGATATAAAGATACAATTATCGATCTTTTGTATATAATATGTATACGTACTCCATCTCTAATACACTAGATAAACTAGATATAAAGCTGGCATTGCATTTTAATTTATCCGATAATAGAACTTTAGTTGAATAGTTGATATTAGTTCCACTTTGATGTATTGGGTTGGTCCCACAAGTAATGGGGTAATTCTCTGTATTAGAGCAGTAGTGTATCTGTAGAGTCTAGATTGATGGGTAATAATATGTATTTGCCGATTTTTGTTGTATCTTGGACAGTGATCTTGATTTACCCTCCTTAGTGCTTCCCTTCCTCTTCCTTTCCTCTCCTATATCCCGTTCCTAACCTCTGAATTATCGCACTCCTTCATATCCTTAGAGCTAGGATAGGAGATAAGGGGAAGGTGGGAGGGGGTTATTGTATCGATAAAAATCATGTAATTTATTTATCACATGATTTAAACCACTACAGTATCATTTTATCATACTATTAACTCGTATCTGATCGTATCATATAATCACATAATCAGAGCTAAAACGAAACCTAGCCCTACAATCCCCTCCTCCGAAGTATGATGTATCAAGATGATGTTCAAAATAATTTCATTTTGACCTATTCCTCTCCACTCCTATCCTGAAAAGAATTTGACCACTCCTTCCTACTGCTAGCCGCAAGCGCCAGCGAGCCTTATCCCTTCCTGTAAGGTAGGATAGGATAGGATGGGATAGGATAGGAAGGGAAATCCAAGATCGCTGCTAGTGGCAATAAATATATGGTTATGTGATCCCGGTATTTATTATATCCTTTTATTAGGATGAGGAAAAATACTAGGATCTTGATTCTTTTGAGAAAAGGGGAGAAGAGAGGATTTTTACAAGATCGAGAGGATTTGATAATTTCTCTTTGGCCTTAGGAGGGAAGTTTGAGAACGCTGCCTTTGATGTGTTAGGTTAGTCCCGCGAGTGTTGGAGAAATTATCTGTAGTAGTAGTATAGCTATACCGGTAGACTGATGGCTAATGATATTTACTCGAGTATTTGATGATATTTATTATATCTTGGAGATAGTGAGATACTATTGGGGATGTACTCGACTAGTAGTCAAGGTGCTATACCAGTATTAGCAATATACTCGAGTGTAAGCGAATGAGTAATGTATAGCATTAGTCATTTGATATACATACTCAGTATAAGCTTTTTATTCTATACTCGAGTATACTAATAATACAATCTAGGAATCCGACGGCACCATTTATCTAATGGGGCCCCCACCCCATCAATGAAATCTCTAATACTTCAGGTATGGGACTACGACTATATGCCCGAATTGGGCACCTTTAGCCTTTAGGCTTAGTATCAATACACTAATCCCAAAAGCGATCATCTCGATATTTTGTCTAATATTTAGGGTTACATTGTATACTCGAGTAGTTTGAGAGTAAATAAATACCTTGAAAATATGTAATATTTTGAAAATTACAATGCTTTAACTTGAAAGTTTAAACTCCAAGTTGGATGGATATAAGTAATAGAATACTCGGTAGATAATTCAACTAATAAATAGATACTCTATCTAAACTCTTGTCTAACGTTCACACCTAGGTTTTAAGAGAGTCTTTCAAAGGACCGACCCTCTTATGGTAAGATTGAGTATATATAATAGTTTTTATCAAAAAAAAAAAAAAAAAAAACCAAAGGAAAAAGGAAAAAGACGGATCAATAATAAAATATTGTTTTGATTTACTGATTGATTAATACGAGTAGAGCTGTATGGTAACTCTATTGATACTGATACTGATAGATACGTTATTATCTACTATATTTATTATAGTAATACTCGAGTTACGAGTATACGGATGTACAATTCTTGTTTAGAATTGGCATTGGTGCATTGGTCCAAGATCCAGGACCATGAATCTTTCATTATATTACAAATTCTTACTGTATGCCACCAGGAAAATAGTTCCGACATTGTAGAATTCCAAAGTTTCGATAAATGAGGCATTGTTTTGTTTTACCTCTTGCAATCAATCAATGGGATGATTTTCTCTTCAACATGAAGCGATTGAGAATCTTTTCAAGCTTCTCTGATTCCTGACTTGAGGAAAGTATCGATTCGGGTAACCTTTACGGGATCTGGTATTGACTGGGTTTACTTTCGGTTACTAGACTGTATAACTAACGAGAGAGAGTATAACTAGAGAAATTGATTGCTGTAATGTAATGGTTAACAGATGCTAATTGTTAAGCATATATCTCGAGCTTTATCGACATTGCAATACTACTCGAGTATTAGGCCTTTGGCTTTAATCATCTTTATCTTTTTCCCTGGAAGTTATATATAACACAACACAACATAACTCCAAGAAATAGTAGTGGAAGAGGAAGAAGTAGTAGAAGAGGAAGAAGTAGTAGCAGTAGTGGAAGAGGAAGAAGTAGCAGTGGAGGAAAGAGAGGGTAGAGGGGTAACCCTCTTATAACCCTTGATATTCATATTTTCTTATTATATGCAACGCGTATAATAAGCGGGCATTGGTCCCCAGCATTTGTTTTCACTTCCCCAAATCGAACATATCTATTTTTGTAAAATAAAAAGTTATCTGCTAGTGCCTATAGGGTCTAGCCGTCCTATATAGTCTTAGACTGAAGATGGACGTAAATTAAATCAATCAATCAATCAATCAATCAATCAATCAACATAACTCCCTTTTCAAAAATAAATTGATAGAATAAACAGAAAATAGCGAACAATACTTTTTGAAGGGAAGCTAGGAAGCTAGACTACTGGTATCTCGCTTGATCGTACGAGTATTGTATTATAATACTCGAGTACTAAACGAACCAAAAGAAACAAAGCAGCATTTATAAAAATAATTCAATGCAATGGGTTAAAAGGACTTCGAGAATCGATAATTGATGGCGAGTGAGGAGATTAAGGAAGTTAAGGAGCTGAGTATCTATCATTGTTATACAGTAGTCGAATACAGTAGTTTGAATCTAAGCAAACCCTTTGAAAATCCTTGTAGCTAGCTACTTATATACTAATAATACGGAACTGGGAATCCGCACAGTATTTAAATACTCCCGCAATCCTATACTAGTGATTTGACCCCACCAACTTAAAATAAGCGAAAGCCAGCCACAGCCCATACTAACTATAGCGCCAAGCCGGATCTCCCCATGTTAATATCTTTACAAATTTATAAGTTGAAGTTTACAGTACTCATGCTGCCAGAAAGTCCGCAACTCGGGTAAACCAGCATGTACCATATAATGGTAAACTACAAGGGAGTAACCTAGTCCTTTTAGCTCCCGAGTTGCGGACTTTCTGGCAGCATGAGTATCTACATAACTCTACAGTAGCTCTTCTAGCCGTGTTTCTCCGCCTTTGATTAATCGAGATGATCTTCTTCAGCCTCACAGGGTTTGGTTTGAGACTCGGTGTTCGGTATACGGGACGGGCATTGATTACACGTTGTGCTACTCGAGTAGGTACTGTAGTGCTAAAATTGCCTAATATAGTATGTATCGGCATCATGGCGCATTGATCAAAGAACGCTGATTGAGGAGCGAGTCATGGGAATAAACAGCAGCAAGAATCGTGATAAATGCCAGGGTTAGTTTTGTGGCTAGTGATAGCTAGAAGATGAGTATGTACTCGTGCTGTACAGTACTGTCCTGTCCCTGAGAATCACGAATATTGATCGTGATGCGTACGGATGGGAAAGACGATTGTCTCGGATTAGTGAAATGAGATTTGAATCTAAATCAGTGATCACGATTTCTAGCTTCCGCGCTGAAGAAAAGACATGGGATGAAATAGGAAATGCGGGTGGATGAAATAAAAGTTCCCGAGTCCTTGTTTAGTGGCTTGTATCTAAATAATACTGTATGTAGCTCAACTTGGGCCGAGAAACTCACTGCAGTGCTGGAGCTGCACATCAACTCTGATTATCTGTGCTACAGTGTACGAATCTTACCTATATATTTGGGGTAGTCCCCGGAAATTACAGATTTAGCCATTCATTTGTAATTATTTAATATCCATTCTCCGTCGTCTCGATCTCAATTCCGTTTTACTGCTTTACTTCATTGTAGTTTTCTTCCTATTCAATTGATATCACAAACACACCATCGCAATGTACATTGCAAACCCCCTCTCTGTCATTCTCTCTCTATCTTTCCTCCCAGGAGCTCTCTCCTGGTCCCCCTTTTCTTCGAACCATTTTGTCCCCTCTTCGGGATCATATATCTATCCACCTCTTGAACAAATCCGCTATACACTCGCTTTGGAAACGTTCTTACTCGATGCTAAGGATTGGACGGCTTTGGATTTGATATATACGGTTGATGCGGTTGCGAATTTTACTAGTTTGGGGGCTGGTGTTTGTATGTTTTTTTGTTATTTGTTTCTATATATGTTTCAAAGGGTTTCAATTCCCCTTTGAATTCGGACTTGGGTTTACTTTATTTTCACCGTCGGTTGTTCGTGGTACATATTGAGGATGAATACAAGGATATTCTCGATGGCATAGAAGGGATTGAAAAGACCAGATGAGGGAAAAAGAAAAATCACTAACACATGATTCGAAGGGACCGGAACAGACCAGATAATGGCAAATGAACAAAAGTCTTTGGGGGCGGTGGCACACGGTATTCATCAGATATCGAGTAGTGCCATTCTGATCAACCCGGGAAATTGCAGTGAAGCGCATGTTATGAGTTAGTAAGTATCGCCCTTTCTTTTCTTTTCTCCACCTCTCACCATAAAATTACCTGCCCACCCCACCATAAGATCTCTCAATTTATGTCCATATCATCGTGCTTCTGTGAAATACGACTGATGGATGCAAAAAGTTACACATTCAACCATTTTGACACAACCGCAAACGGAACCGCACAGCATATATGGCAAGCATGGTCCAAATATGAAGATCAATGGGTTGATACTGGATCCTATGGTGGAAGTCCAAGCTCGTGGAGGGTGAAGAATAGACAGGTGGCGTTGGTGGGCGGGCCAGTCGGGGGGGATGTCAAGATTGAGAAGCCTTAGGTGGTGGTGGTGGAGGAGAGGAGAGCAGTGGGGTTGAGAATGGGCATGGGAACGGAGATGGAGTTGATATGGAAGAAAATATCGAATGGATGTATGATATATAAAATGTCCTGTAAAAGAGGTGTGATTTGAGGAGAGTAGCGAGAAAGGATATTTTTTGTTTGACAGGAGATTAATGTAATGTTTTTGGGCACACGAAACTCCATCCCTACTCTCACCTGTCTACTCGAATAGAATAAATAAATGCATGAGTTCAAAAGCCAGTGAATATCATCGATCAATCTCATCTGATCTCGCTTTCGCTTGAGGTGGGCTATGATCAGAGCTAGATAACTATACTACAAAATGATCCTTACCTCTTTCTTATCAACCCTATTTTCATTTATTAATCAGCTAGTATATAGCTATTTGACTTAAACAAAAGCAATGGTAACCAATACAAGTATCAAAGATTAAGTATTACCAACCCTATGAGAACGACCAAACCCTACCAATCAAATCGCACAACACAACATAAATATAGTAAGTAGTATGCCGCTTGAGACAAAACTTCAAGTACAGCCCAAGGACAGCCCAAGAAAGAATTTCGAAACCTATACCCGAGCCAAACTTTTAAACCAAAACAGACAAATCAGAAATCGCAATACTCGAGTATTTCACAAAACAATGGCATCTATTCTATCACCTGTCATCTTCATCCCCTACACTCGGATACATGAACAATTTCTCTACTCCCTTTATCTTCCTCCGTTATCTAACCTATCATGCTTCCTCATATATTGTATATCGCTTGATATATCCGAAGCAACAGCAACAGCAACAGCAACAGCAATAGGAACTATAAAAAATCCCACCGTCAAAGGCATATCGATAACCAGCAGGGGGAGGGGGTTGCAATATCATCATTATAGGTATCACAGTAGCCTCGGGAATAGCACTTTCAAAGCAAGCTCATCCCATGAGAGTTCTGCCTTGAGGCTTGATCTACCGGCCTCAGAAAGTTAATCAACGGAATGATATGGATATCCTTAATCACATGTCTGAAGATCGAAGATGGTGCTTAAGGATTATTGATATGGATATAGAGATCTCTAGAGGTGCTTCTCTCGCATTTTAAGGTTATGGTTAAGGGGCGGGGAGAAGGGTTGTAGGTGGGTTTTGTTGACATTGCGGATATTTGAGTATCTTATATAATAAAATCTTGTTGAGTAATCGGAACCAAGTTTTGATCAAGTTTCTCATTTATATATTAGTGTTGGTATCAACGGGAACACCTTTCAGATCTACGATGGTAGAAAGTCCGACGGGTGTTCAGTGTTGATATCAATAGAAAGCTTGTTGATTACTATTCTACATGATGGAGACTATATGTGTATTGAAGCCCTTTCGCTAAGGCTTGCCCTAGCCCTTCGATAGTACGGTGCCAGTACTCCGGTACAGTAGGTGACTATACCGACAATTAGGTTTTACAGTATATGTATATAAAGTAGCGCTTCCACGAAATAAAACTTGACAAAGCCTTCCACACACATTCTTGAGATTCAATCCTCAAATGTTTTGGTCATCCTGACCGTGGAGAAAATAGGAGACGAGAACGCGGAAAGTGATCTTTCTCAAGAAGCATCAGAAGCGAACTCCGCATTCTTGCCTCCATTATGATATCCGAGTATGCACTTCAAAGTTCGCCGACAACAAGAACAAATGGCGAAAAGTCATTATCATTAAATATGACAGTAAATGGAGATATCGGACAACAATGGTATGGGAAACTTCCCGATGAATTAAAGGAATGATTCAGTGACCTGGTAGCAAGCACCTGAGGTTTGCACAGAATAACCGTCTGTCTGTCCTGGATATCATCAAGAATCCAACCCCTTTTCTCTCTCGTGTTGAACTAAAATCGAGAACAATGAATGTAATTATCTGATATTCTGGTTTGGTAGCAAATTCCTCTAATTTCTACTTCATTATTCAAATGCCCATCTATCATTCCCTTCCATCCTGGTATATTACTTGCTTCCTTCCTTTCAAACTCCATTATACTCCTCATTTATTCTTCACTCTCACATACTTTCTACAACAGATTCATTTAATAATTATTGGCATCCCATACAACAAATGCTCGTGACACACATCGCCGCACTATTTTTCTCAGATGTTAGCTAGATTATCTTACAAACTTCGATTCGCACCCCCAAATTTCCTACAACAACAAAAGAATAACTTACTCTTCATCATTCAAACCCGTACAATCGCAATAAGGTAAAATGCACATGGTCGGTTCGCAGGTAGCTGGCATTCCTGTCGCACTACCGGCTACACTACTAGTTATTGTCGAAATCGTAACCGGTACATCTGTTCCACCCCCAACTTCTCTTGGTATGGATTTCCTCGGTGTAAGTCTCATAACCGGCGCTTCGCCTCTCTTTACTTTCTTCTCCTCCGTGTGAACCACTGGAGCAATCTTCTTGGGTGTGAGTCCTATCACCGGTACCGGTATTGGCACTGGAGGCTCTTCCCGCTTCACCCTCTTCTCCCTATTATGATCAAACTTCCGACCCCTATTGTGCGTCACATAATGTGTTCGTGTATATGGAGATCGATCTCCTCCCGTCAGAATATCAGGGCGTACTCCACTTGCTGCCGCGATGACTGACACCAGAGAAAGAAGGCAAAGGAGGCCGAGGAGTACTTTAGATCTGGGAGCTATCGTTTTGATTTTCGTCAGAAGACTGTGAAAGGAGGTGCTAGTTTGGGTGTGCGAAGATTGGACGGAATCAAGGAGGGAGTTCTTCCAGTGCAGTGTCTGGTGGTATATAGGCTTATGTGGATCTTCTGAGTCGGAGATGATGATCTGAGGTGGAACTTGAGGTTGGTTGTGCGTGGGGAGCGTACTGCCGAGCTGGCGGGAAAACGTGCGTGCGTGTGCCATTGGAAAGGTAGGGATGGGGCTCAGATCTATTCTAGTTGGACTGAAGAGGTTGAGGTGAGGGAATGGAACGAATTGGAGAAGGTTTTCGGGAACAGTCGAAATGGGATAGAACTGAAGATAAAGTTCAAATGAAGGTTGTCGGTACTAAGAGTAAACAATGGGGTATAAAACTGGTATAGTAAAGGGGAAGTGAGCAAGAGGAGGAGAGGGAAGGAGAAGATGCAGATAGGATGAACAGCACACAAACCAAACCAGACAAGCTTCAATTGAGTTTAAGCAAAGAAAGGGATAGAAAGGTCTTCCCCATCCATCCGATCTCCAAGTCCTATACCGTAGTAAACATATTAAGGTCCAGAACCAATCGATCCAATTCATGATGATCCACTAAGATCCAATTTCATTCAAATTCATCATCACATGGAGATCAAAGCTTAAGCTTCTTCCATATTTATATCCCCTTTCATTGGCTTTCAACGACTTCCCAACTCAACTCCACTTCATCCAACCAATTACCACTCTGATGTTCGCTATCACTGCTATCGACGTTTTTAGAGCCAGGGATATAAAATAATATCCACTGCAATCGATTGCCAACCATACTGAATGGACATGGCTGTATAATTTGATGCCGGCGTTTCATGATTTGTTTCCCGCTAAAACAAGTGAAGTACCGGTGCAGAATGGATTTCTTTGTGAACGTATCCGAAGTTTATTGATATCTGGCGAGATTTGTATAAGCTGGAAATAGAGACGGAGATGCTGAGAGAGAATATAAGTTGTGTTGGAGAAGTTTTGGAAAACGGGATGGAAAGTTCGGTAGTCCGGTTTTCACCCCTCCCTTTCACCAGCCACAATACAGGACATCATGTAACCTAATTTAAAGCAATATCCACAGGCTTACGACTCCCCCAGATTACATTATGGTAGTAGTATTGAAATATTAATATCTAGATTTTGGACATGGAAATGATACGGTAGTTGTACAACTCAATTTAGTGTCATGTATTTATAGGATGAAGATCTGAATTAATATTTGAATTGAGGTACGATGCATTTACAAATTTATATTCGAATGCCAGTATCCCCGGCACAATTACTGTGCAATTGTCACATTGATTAAGGTATCGCGTATTTACGACCAATCTCCCCCATCTCCCCTATCTTCTCCCTAACACAGTATCATAGTATGCTTTCATAGTACTAGTACCAAGCTGGCGAGAGACACCATAGATATGGAGCATCGTACATCTAATCTAGAGTAGTCTATCGGTAGTTTTACGACCTCACATTCTATAAAATCGAGATCTCACCAAGCACGCTCCAAAATGGCAATAGAACACCGTTGATTGATGTGACTAATTTGATTATGCTCAGAAGAAAGCCAGAGAGTATTAATATTAACCGTGGACATGTGAAGCTTTCAACACACATGTATATCGTCACTTGCATCTACTATAAAGGATGCGGAAAGATGGTGGTCATGATACACTTCCATTTATAAACCGAAAGCTACATAAAGAGAAAAGAGAAGTACGAGTTCTTCTCCTCTACACCCATTATAGGATTTAAACACACTATCTCAAAAATAAGCTCTCCCTGCATATGCTCCCTTTTTGGGTCTATGTAACCGTCCTCGCTTTCGATGTCCAGACAGCCACCCTCGTATACTGTAGACTACCCCTCCTCATACAATACTACTTACTAACCATGCAAACTCCCAAGTAAAATAAACAAAGAAGCCCGTCCAGTTCAGTCCACTCATATTCATCCCATTCATAAGCACGGAAAAAGTAATTAAGCACACACATACATCACCTTGAGAGCGTCGCTGTAACAGTAATATACACAGTGGTCGGTCCGCAGCCTAAGCCGCAGGATAAGGACGATGATGGAGATGAAATGGGTGAGGAAGAGAGAGTAGAAGATTTGCTTGTTGTTGATGACGTTATAAGTGAAGAGCTCGTTTGGGTAAGTCTCAGTGAAAGGGCAGAAGAGGAGGAGGTAGAAGATCTTGTGGATATTTATTGAGAGGGAAGATCTCGTCGATTTATTTCTCGACGAAGAGGAGGACGATAAGGTTGAAGAGGTAGCAGGTTTGGTTGTTGTTAATGATATTGTGAGGGAAGAGCTTGTCGAAGCATTTTTGAGTGCTGAGGAGGAGGAGGAGGAGAAGGAGGAAGTGGAGGAAGAAGACGAAATTTTCGCTGGTGTTGTTGTAAATGGCTTTTGCACGTTAGCAATTGTAATTCCAAATATTGATACATAGAAATCAACATATCCCTGGATTTCTTTTAGAATGAATACTAATCGATGACGTTGAATATGAGTACGCTGGACTCGGGAAGGCACCCGTAACCGAAGGAACTCCATCAATGCCTGAAGTGATAGGTAAAACAATTGAACCACAACTTGTGGCTTGCGCGATATGAACACTTGCATTGTCCTGATCAAATACTACGTAAGCACCTCTCATAAAAGGTATCTCCTAAAATCACATCGGTCTTATCAGCAGGATTGGCGATAGGTCCATAGCATGTAGCGCCATTGAAACATATGAGCTGAGCTAATTGAACTCTGAATATTTGGCCTGCAAACCCGAAGTCCATCGTTCCTGCGACATTTCGAAAGCTGCAAGGGATGGTATAAAGACCACCTCCTTTATTGACCCATCCAGGAAATAGACGAGCATGGCGGTAATAAGTGAAGGTGGTAGATAACTCAATGTGCTTCCGGAGTCAACAATGACTGGCTTCGCGAAGCCGATAGTTGTAAGATTTGTAGGTAGCTGACCTGGGAATGTAACCCCAAAATATGTCATGTTAATTCAATATCTAGATTCATAATATCCAGGGTTACTGATTGCGCAGGACACCCAATTTGTACTGCTTATGATCAGCTAACGTAAGAGAGGATGGATGTGCTTGAAAGGATGTACTAAGTGATCATGTAAATATCACCAATGTAAGGATTGGTCAAATTTGACTTGGATTGTCTTTTTCGGAGATTTGGAACTCCCGCAGCTTTGCTCACCCCCAACTGAAAAACTCCATCACTAACCGTTCGATTAGGTAGGGCTTTGGCAGTTTCATTATTTTTGAGATCATCGTGAACATCAATGAACGCTGTTCCCACCGCTGCCAGAAGTAGCAGCCATATAACCGCAAGCATCGTTAAACCAGAAACTCAAGGAGATTCATACCATCAACGTGGCGATGGCCTCGGCTATATATATATCGTCTGGCAGTGTTTCACTGTCCTGACATTCTCCGCCATTTAAAAAGTCTCATATCTGAGTTCAACATTGAGATTTAAAAGCCAACTCTAGACATTGATCTTCGAAATGAAGGTAATGGTAGAGATGAAAAAGAAACCCTTGGTACCACGTGTACAATAATTATGTATAGTCATATCTGGGTGTTAATCAATGCAAAAGAGATGCTAAAGAATGCACTAGTAGACTACACTTGCCCCCTTCATTAAAAAAGAATGACAACCTTCGAATATGGCGTAGAACAAAAGAAGGAATAAAGAAAGATGAGAACTCTATACACTTCCCGTCCATATCTAGGATCTAACTCCCCGAAGACAAATAAAAAAGGAATGAGAAAGTTACTACAGCTTCATGCATGACCTAAATATCCCAAAGGAGAAGCAGCATTCCCAACGCTTAGCATGACAATCGTCACGTAAGATGTAAAAGATTGAAGAATTCTTCCAAGATGTCTACCAAGCTGTCGGGTCACATATGTGATTGTCCAAAGCTGGCGAGAGAGAGCAGAGCAAGTAAGGTAGCCAACGGAACTCGTACTCTATCCATTCACAGAAGGGAAATCACTTCGAAATCTAAATTGGTGATCGCCAGAGAAGTTCTTACTCATGGCGCACTCACACATGGATCGGATTGCAGGATCTGAGGAATCTCATAAGATGTTATGCAGACGCCCATCCGTGGACTTGAAGTTTGAGACGGGGCAATATCCATTTGATGTCCGAGGATTGAATTGGATCACGTGTTTAGAATACGAGCTATTCTAAATACGGTTTAACCCCGAGCCGCAAACTTCTCGTTTAGCCACTAGCGCAAGATCACCGATGAGGGCTATAAAAGTTCGAATTTTGCGCAACAATTTTCCTTTCTTCTTCATCAAAAAGTATCAGAGCCAGCCACGACCTCCACCTTGATTTCGCAACAGTGGTGTGTTGCCAGCATTCTTAACGGAGTGTGAGGCTCTGTAGAAAAAGTATATCCTTAATAGGAAGTTCGTTTTCCGTGTGTCTTCTTAATTGAGGGCGAGGGGATCCGAATGTCGAAAGAGAGGATACAGCCAACAAGACATTTCCATGCCTTTTGAAGGTGGAATGCAAATTTTACTAGAGATCTCATTTGACCATAGGTCAAGAGATCTAATCCTGCCCTGTTGTAATCTATGGCTGTTGTGATTCAATGCCCGCGTTCACATATTTCGTAAACAATAAATACGTGCATTGGCGTCCATTCCACGGTGTATGCAATCTTCGACTGGAGATCTAGCCCATCTGTATATGACCCGATTACTATTCCTGGAGTTTTGATCATGTTTGTGCATACTTGCCAATATGTTAGTAGCCAATCCATACTTGTACTACAATGTTGCACCTGCCTTCACGGTTGTGTCCTAATTGCGTAGCAAAGCTGTTGAGCCAGAAACGAGATTTGTATTATCAGCCATAAGGCCAAATCATCCGAAAAACAATTCTCTTCCCACTTTCATCTTCTAGCATATGTAAGAAAGAAAAGCGGCCTTACGCTGTAGCATCGATCATACATGGCTAGCGGCGATCGCGTTTGAAAAGCCGCAGAGGAATGCGTGCTTGTTTACCCAACGCGCTTCTGACCTATCTTGGTGGTATTTATTATAAGGAGCGGGAAAATGGTTTAGACTGTCTCGAATTTCTGCAGGCTTAACTTAATCTCTCCCCACAAATGACATCACCTTTTGCTCCACGATTTCAACGTCTCTGCTTCCATGCCTTGTGTGTGATCCTCATGTTTTGTTCCACGACCTACCTTTCTACTCCCTCTTCATGCATGAACGACGCAAACACTTGCAACCAAACCGCGCGCACAAGTGTAGCTCATGAACGATCCAATTGTGAGGTGAACATATCTCTTGCAACTGCTGAAATACCCAAGTCTAAATGCTGGTTGACGGAAATCCCTCCATCAATCTATTGATTTTTCCATATGTTCCCCCCAGATGTCATGCTGGATCCTTGAGACCCCGTACCAGTTTTGCGCCATATTGAGCCCCCATCACCCCATCCCCTCCATAAAACGCCCCTCCTCATTAATCGCAGATAGTTATATATATTGCCTTATTTGTCAGCAGCTGCGCCGTCTCCGCTGACCATCTTGCGTAGCTCAAACTCCTTTGTGAACTCGCGGCTGAATACCTCAAGCTCGGAAACCAAGTTACGGCAACATGCGATGAGAGCTTCTTTGGGAGTGATCTCACCATCGGTCTGGATGCGGAGTTCGAAGTTGGAAAAGAGGGGATGGGGAACTGTGCGCTTTTCGTCAGTATATAATTCCGAAGAACTGTTGGTACGTATTGATATAATGCAATTGTGTGATTGGAGTAGGCATACTCTTGTAACCGGAGAAGATAACGTGCGGATCCTTTAATAGGTGAGCACGAAGGACATTGGCGATGGTATGGTCTTCTTTGTTGAAGGTGAAGATTGAGGAATTAGGAGTGCCTGCATATCAACATATTAGCAAAATATTCAGATGAAAGGGCCGGTATGCGCAATTGATCTGCAACTTACGAGTATCAGCTTCCTCTGTACATTTTTTCTCCCCATCTCCGAGAATGAACAACTCGAATCTATTGTGCGAGATCAGCGCCCATCCTTCATTGTAGCCAGGGGCATAAACATAGAGATGCTCTGGCAGGAGATTGTGTACCTCTCGGGTGCGTTAGACATTTTTGATCGATCTCCTTTATTCACGCTTGGATTATCTGTAGAAACCATGATTGCATTAGTAATTCCTCTTTGTGTCTACTTGGACAATTTTGGTGGATATGCGACAGACTGGAAAGAACTCACAATATATTTTATAGATGATCGGTGCTCGTCTGAAGACTTAAAGGTAAGTTGCGATTGGATCAAAACCTATTATTCAAGAAAGACGGGAGGAGCAACTGACCAGTAGCGGGTTCAGTGGTCGACAATTTGGAATGGTTGTGAAGATATAAAGTTGTTGGTGCAATCATGTTTTTGACGAGAGGATAACGCCAAGCTAAAATGGAGCTATGATCGATCTGGTATAGCGGTATTGTGCGGAAAGCTGCCGAGGTCCAATATCCAATAACCCAGCCTCTCCTTCTCAGCTCAGCCTCCTCATCATTTTATTTTGAAGCTGTACCTCAACTTAAAATACCTGAATTACATGACCGTACATATAATACATACCATACCGTATTACAATAATCTCTTAAAAATATTTCATAATTCTTGTGAAGCACACCTCATTCATAGCTTGGAATATATTTCCAGCATAGTCCTTGTTTTGTTGTTGTGTTGTTCTCGAGTATATGGGATTGATATAGATATCCCTTCTTTTCCATCTCCAAATCATCCCTCCAGCTTCTTTATATTACTTCTTACTTCCCAGCACCAGGAGTCACAGTAAGCACCAATCAATTCGTCATCTTCTAGCTGTGGGAAGCTTATCGTATCGAACAATGTCACACTTCAACCATAAGCAAACGCTCCGTAAGGACTACCCATGGACAACTTATCCGCTTATATCATCTGCTCCTATGCGCTTAATATCAAAACCTGCCTTGGCTCTAGCTGTTTCTAGATCTGGTGGTCTTGGTTTCCTCGCTGCTGGTACCGAGTGAGCTGACCCATTTCTTTATCTCCAGTTTCCATCGCCAATTGTTATTCTCCATAGAAGGGCATTTCATAAGTATGAAGATTGTCCATAAAGTTGAGTTCAGTGAGCGGAGACATATGATGGATGTATCACACACTCAATTTTTACGACAATCACAAGAATTCGATATGTCTGGTCAACTAGTGTTGAGGATGCATACTGCCAGTGATTTTGACATTGCAAATGCGTGTTCAACTTACAATCATCCTCTCGACTCTCTATATCCGCAAGTTCAGCCGCAGCGGATTTTATGGCCTTCTCATGATATTACAATACAACCAGACTAACAATAAAATCCTTCAGTCTCTCTACCCTTTCGGACGAACTCAAGGAAATTCAGGATACTCTCTCAGATGAGCCAATTCCCGGGAGCTACCGAGACACTCTTCCCATAGGAATAGGTTTCATAGTCTGGGGCTGCGATCTCGAGCATGCCCTGTCAATTCTCGCCCCACTTCCCTTGCCACCTTCAGCAATATGGCTCTTTGCCCCAGAGACCGCGTCAGACTTGCAAGAGTGGACAGACTCTATCCGGAAGCTCACAGGCAATCTCACCAAGATTTGGATTCAAGTCGGCACTGTTGCTTCTGCACTATCAGCCGCCCACTCCTGCGACCCTGATGTCCTCGTTATCCAAGGTTCTGATGCCGGTGGACACGGTCTCGCTCATTCTTCCTCGATCGTTTCCCTTCTTCCCGAATGCGCATCTGCATTACGCTCCAACGAATACTCGCACATACCTCTTATTGCTGCTGGTGGAATAGTCGAATCACGTGGAGCAGCTGCTTCATTTATGTTAGGTGCAAGTGGAATATGCATGGGTACACGATTCTTGGCTTCTTCCGAGGCAGTAATTTCGACTGGCTATAGAAACGCAGTCTTAGCAGCAGAGGATGGCGGCGTGTCAACCACGAGAACAACCCTCTATGATAGATTGAGAGGAACGGCAGGCTGGTCGGAAGATTACAATGGTAGAGGAGTGGTCAACAAGAGTTGGTGGGATGAGACGAATGGTATGAGTATGGAGCAGAACAAGGAACTTTATGAAGCAGAGGCGAAGAAAGGAGATGAGGGATGGGGAAATAAAGGGAGAATGTGTACATACGCCGGCAGCGGAGTTGGATTGGTGCGAGAGACTATGGACGCTGGCAGTATTGTCATTGAGGTCCGGGAAGGGATGAGGAAATTGATCAGGGAGGGAGGAAGTCGCTTGTAAAGCACATTGGATATCACGAAGTTGGAAATACCCTATAATTTGGAAGTTCAGGGTTGGGAGGGAGAATCAGATAATGGTCATGCAACTCACAGTTTCATGAATTTCTGGCCGGTATATATCTTTGCGATGGTTGGTCATTTGTATTTATAGTAAATTACTCTCATACTACTAAAAGTGAATTATATTATTCTTATACTACGAATATAATATCTGTTTTATTCTTATATTACTTAGATTCTATAGCAGAATCTATAATAGAATTTATAGTAGGAGGGTAAAATCTATAGTGGGAGGATAGAATCTATAGTAGTAGAATATAGTTTATGATGTAAGGGTGGAATCTACGATAGAAGGGTAGATATAGTGGAAGAGTAAAGACTATAGTGGAAGGGTAGATACGATAAAAAGATGGAAATCTATAATAAAAGGGTAAAGTTTAAGGTGTTAGGATGGTATCTATGATGGAAGGGTAGAATTTATAATAAGAGAATAGATATAGTGGAAGGATAGAATTCATAATAGAAGGATGAATATGGTAGAGACAGAGGCTATATTAATAGAAGAGAATATAGTAAAAGGGTAGAATCTATAGTGAAAGAATAGAATCTATAATAGAAAGATAGAATCTATAGTATAGAATCTAACTATATAAGACTTAGATTCCAAGTAGGTAGTATAAGAATAAAATGAAATACGATTTTTGTAATATAAGAGTAATATATTTCACTTTTTACTATAGTGGTATAAGAGGAGAGTAATTTGCCATTATATATACAGTAGATAGAATAAATAAAGGACTCTTGTACGAGTATATGAATAAACATATAGTATAAGAATTTCACTTCCACGATCTGACGATCAAACATATAATCCAGATCCTAGAATTCTATCTCCAATTCTAACTCCAACTATAACTCATCATACATTGGGGCCTAAAATAAACCGGCTAGCTCGCTTGTCAAGGAGACTGATGAATTATGAATAGCAAGCACACTTCCACGATTAAGGATCATGAATCATGATACACCATCTTACAATTTGAAACTCGTTATGGCCAATCTAAATATATCAATCTAATCTCCAAGAGCAAAGGAAAGGAAAGGAAAGGAAATGAGATAAAACTAAACTAAAGAGATAGCAGTTTCCAGCACTACGCTACGCTATGCACCAAACCCAAGCAATCCAATCAATCCATCCATGATGAATTCCGAGAGATCTATTATCATAAAAGACGGACAAAGAAACCCCCATATGTATGTATGTGTGTATGTATTCGATTTATACATGCATACAACTTCAGCCCTTTCCCTTCCCATTACTTATGGGGTTCTGTCATGTATTATATGCGACTAGAACATTGGCAACTCTCCTGCTCTATCCTTCCTATCACAGTATCCCACATTCGGGACTTTATCACCCCCACTCGTCCAACTAATGATGGTCAATGATGTAGTGTATACCATGACCACCAAGCCGAATACACAAAGTAAGATGTCTGCTCCTTTCCGGAAACGCGTCTTGGCTACACCTCGGTAATGTAGCATTGGCTTTTTAAAATGTTAGTCATACGTCTGTAGGGAGTAAAGTATGTGATCGGACAGAAAATTGGGAAAAGAATGAGAAAGGAGGGTCATACCGGGTATATAAATACTAACGGAATACAAGCGAAACTTCCCACGATCGAAACGAATTTATCCAGATCATTGGAACCAACATATGCGATGGACGCGCACAGGGCAACAACGAAGAAACGGAAAATGTTCTTCTGCCATTTGATGTAAGGGTTGTATTTACCGCTTCTGGTGAAAAGTTCATTTTCAGTGATTCTGATAGCTGGGAAGATTTGTAGGGGGGTCGACAGAAGAATGGCGCACGAATAGAGGAATTGGACACCATTAACCATCTTGTCGTTCTGAGGAAGATTGAGAAGGACAACTGTTTCTATATGAGATCCAAATGCAGCGTAGGAGAGAGCACCCATGGAGACGAATACTACGCTGATGATGATCATGATAATGCCGAGAACGGGAGGAAACTTCTTTGGATTCTTCATGGATTCTTGAATAGGGATGATGAGACCAATTCCTTCGAAAGTGAAAATGGCGGTGCCAATGAACAATGTCCAGTCCTGCTCATTAAAATTGACGATGTCAGAGATGCCACCTTGTTTCACAATTGTGAAAATGTCGTAGTAGTAGAGATAAACCAAGCCGATGAGAATGAACGCATCTGCTACGAGTGCGGTAAACCCGAGCTTGCTGATGTCGCGCAAAAGAGAGAACGGCAGGAAAATAGCCATCTGTAACAAAATCAACCACGAGACCTCCCAGTGAACTCTGCAATTAGTCACAGCTGATATGAAAGCTTGCAGATTCTCGGATGTGAACACAATATATGCAGCCACGAATCCCATCTGACTGATAACGATGGATGTGAGAATGACGGTTCGCATCCATCTCCCGTACAGAACGCCTCCCATGTCTCCAAACGACGCCTCGACCTTTAGTCGCGTATTGACGAGCAACACGAAGCAGTAATAGCTCAGAGCTGCAACTAAAAGAAGAATGACATTACTGAAAAGCATTCCGCCGTTGAGGTACGCCTTCGGTAAGAATAACACGCCAGTACCAACGAAAGATTTGAGCAGTAATAATGAAGCTTGGAAAGGAGTGGTTGTTCCCTGTGGTGCGCGCTCCTTGCGCTTTCTTTTTCGGCGACCAGGTGTGAGCAGAGCACTATTTTCCATGGGCTCTCTATCTTCATCACTACCATCGCCATATTCATCAGATATCGCATCCGATCCGAAGTATTCGTCAGGTCCAAGCACCTCGTCGTCTTCCTCCAATTCCTCACCAGCAAAGTGGCCGTAAATAGTCAAAAACTCGAGAAAGTTGTTGGTAAATATCTTTGGGTTTCGTTGTGTGAGCCCTCCGCCCTCTTCCATATCCAAACCTTCAGGAGTTGGACTGCCTGCTGCTCTGCGTAGATAGTTTCTTCTAAATCCACCTGGCACTTTGATTGTGCCAATATCAAGAACTTCGTTTTCTGCTTCTGGTCGCGAGATATGGAAACTCTTACTTCTCTGAGATCGGCTTGCTCTGTGGGCATCCTCGGTCCATCTGTATATGGGTCTGGTAATATCACCACCTTGTAATCGCAGACTCGAGAATTCATCATCATCTAGTCCAGGTGCTACATTTTCAACTGCTTGCTTTGATGTACTAGCTGGGGAGCCGGCACGGAATGACGGTGATTGTCCACTTAGTCCAAAGATTCCATCAGCGGTACCATCACCTCCTAGCTGCGAAGGTCCCTGTTGTACCAGATGCCTCTTTATAATTTCCGGGTCCTCGTAGGCTGTCGGGCCAGCCCATCCTTGTCCCCCTTGAACTGATCGCGGCACAGAGCCATAGTTGCTATATACTCCTGTACCTTGTATTTGTTTACCGGCAGCGGCTGGTGATAATGGACGGATAGGAGGTGTTCCAAAGGTAGGAGGAGTCTGTCCGATAGAGTTTGATAGAGCAGCGGCTAAGGCACTAATACCTGGGCCAGGCGCATAAGATGCTGGACCACCTGCGCCAGCCAGAGGTAGAGGAGCAATGTTATCGGATGAGTCTGCCGCAGAGGCCTGATTTGGGGTAGGTATTTGTCGGACTTGTGGAGTGCCCTGATGAGAAGGTACTGGTGAAGCTAATCGAGCTGTTGATTTATCTCTTGAAGATGGACTTCCTGACCGCCCGCGAAATGAGTCTGGTGATGGTGAATCCATTGGAACTGACAGAGGTCGAGAAGAGGAAGGAGTCGACATGATGATATAAGGTGCGGTCGGCGAAGGAGGTGGCAGGTAAGTTTATTTGAAGGGCAGATATATGTTATGTCTTATCTCATGATAATCGCTGATTAGTCGCTGTACTCGGAAGATGAAACTCTTCTATTCTACTCGTAACGATTTCCGTTAGTCTCGATACAGATGACAACAGAACCGGTGAGTGATTCATAGGCAGGTAATGTAGGATTGATTTGTACTCACGAGATTCATATGAAATAAAGGAGAACCAAAGGATGTTCCAAAGGAATATTGCTATTATGATGTTGTCACCTGCCTATCTATGTTCACTCTCATAGACTCATACTCAGCTCAACGTCGGTATTTTGATTAGTTTTGTTTTGTAGGATTGCCCTTGTCAAATTGATAATCTCAAACCCTTTCCAACAAATCGGGGGATTTCCAGCGAGTAACAGGGACCCCGACAAATATACAAATATACAATACAAACTTTAACCAATTAAATCCGATTGGTCTGCATGTTATATCTAGATAATCTCTTGTACCAAGCAAAAAGAACTGCATGAATTCTACTATGAGCCATTTTATTATAGAGATATTCCACTACTCGAGTATAAGTATAAGTATTCCTTCCTCTTTTTTCCTTCCTTTCGTTGTAACCGACTGTACCACATGACGTCGAACCGCGATATCCTTGTTCTTGGCTTCACCAACTCTACAAAGGCATTATTTTGCTCTTTACATATCCGTTTGAAGGTAGGTATTGCCATTGCCATTCAAATAACTATCAATAATCTTGAGGATGCCCAATGCCGGGCAAGAGATTGAGAGCACCAGCGAATCTAGCACCGGTGAGCATGGATCCGGAAGTCAACAAATACAGCGCGATGGTGAAGCTCAAGGAATGACCAATCGATTGCTACAAGCATTTTCTCGCCATGGAACTGACAATAACCATAATAATCAAACACCAAGCCCGCAAGATGAACAGCCTCAGGATCCCTATTCTGCTGGTACCATGGGTGATAACTCTTTGACAGTGCAATTGCACAATGAGGCAGAGGGGAAGAATGGCAAATCGATTCCCAGAGCAGGACTGGTACCTCGACCGATTGGCGGACAAGAGAAGCTAGGAATGTTCTCTGGAGTGTATGTGCCAACATGTCTCAATGTTTTGAGTATTTTGATGTTCCTCCGTTTTGGGTTTATCCTAGGGCAAAGTGGAATACTGGGTATGATGGGTTAGTTTTTCAATCCCTTTGCGCCAGCAAGTATTGACAGCACATCTAGGTATGCTTGTCGCTTCTTATGTGATCAATTTTATTACTACCTTTTCCCTGTCTGCGATTGCCTCAAATGGAACAGTCCGCGGAGGTGGGGCATATTATTTGATCTCCCGTTCTTTAGGTCCAGAATTTGGGGGATCGATTGGACTCGTCTTTTACATGGGCTTCGTATTCAATACCGGAATGAACGCCGTGGGTCTCATCGATTGCATCACTCTAAATTTTGGTGCGGACGATGGCAATTGGGCTCAAATCCTGCCGGAAACAAAATGGTATTGCTACCTTTGGTCCACCATAATACTCGTCCTGTGTACGCTGGTATGTCTGGCTGGATCTGGAATCTTTGCAAGAGCTAGTCATGGACTACTGGTTATTCTGTTCTTTGCCACATTGAGCATCCCACTATCTGCACTGGTCGTCAGCCCCTTTGAAAGTCGGAAGCTTGGCATTGAATATACAGGCATCAGCTTACAGACACTTTCGGGAAATCTACTGCCCAAGCTCACTAGAGGTGCTGCTGGCAGTCAAATTCACGGGAGGGAGACTTTTCAGGATCTGTTCGGGATTTTGTTTCCTGCAACGGGAGGCATATTTGCTGGTGCAAGCATGAGCGGCGACCTGAAATCTCCGAGCAAAGCAATTCCGAAAGGAACTCTATATGGTCTTGTCACAACCTTCTTCTTGTATACTCTAGTCATACTATCCATGGCTGCCACCGTGACCCGCTCATCTTTTCTCAGGAACACAAATGTGCTTCAGGAAACTAACATATCAGGCTTATTGATCCTGGCAGGAGAAGTATCTACCAGTCTCTTTTCTGTTCTCATGGGAATTATTGGCAGTGCAAAACTTCTTCAGGCTATTTCAAGAGATAGTCTACTACCTGGATTCTCGATATTTGGCCAGGGAACCAAAAAAGCTGATGAACCTACCTTCGCGATCATCTTTACATTCATTATCACCCAATTGACGATGCTCGGCGATCTCAATCAAATCGCTAGTTTTGTAACAATGACTTATCTTGTAAGTATGACTTGGCTACAGTCTGCATGGACTGCGAACCGCCCCCTTTCTCCCAAATTTCATTTCGTCTATCACATCAGCAATTACGTTCGCTTCATAGTTAATACAGTATCGTAATATGTACAAAGTGTTATTGATGCCCGCCTACGTATCTATATGCGTCGAGTACCAGTAATACTCAGGGGTTTGTTTCAGGTTAGAGAGTTATTGATAGCATTGACTAATATTGTTAGATGACCTTTCTGGTCATGAACCTAGCTTGCTTTCTCCTTTCAATCGGGTCTGCGCCCAATTGGCGCCCCAGTTTCCATTTCTTCAATTGGCAGACTGCTGTTGCCGGTGCAATAGTCTCAGGAGCCGCGATGTTCTTTGTAGATGGATTTTATGCAACAGGATGTGTAGGGGTTCTTCTTCTCCTATTCCTTTTTATCCATTATTCCGTTGAGCCAAAGAGCTGGGGAGATGTATCTCAAAGCTTGATATATCATCAAATCCGAAAATATCTTCTCAAGCTCAAACAGGAGCATGTCAAATTTTGGCGTCCTCAAGTCATTCTACTTGTTAACGACCCACGCCGACAGTACAAACTTATACAGTTTTGTAATTCTATGAAGAAAGGTGGTCTGTATATCCTTGGTCACATCATTGTGACGGACGATTTCAATCAATCATTACCAGAAGCTGTAAGTAAAATGTCTATAGTTCGTTTGAGAATCGAAAATACTCTGCTTGTACCTTCCAATATGCACCTATACTAATTACCGAGAGCAGCGTCGTCAGCAAGCAGCTTGGAATAAATATATTAATTTTTCAAAGATCAAAGCATTCGTCAATATTGCAATATCTCCTGCTTTAGAATGGGGGGCGCGCAATATTATCCTCAACGCGGGGCTAGGAGGCATGAGACCTAATATCGCTGTAATGGGGTTCTACAATCTAGACGACCTTAGAAATTCGCAGCCATTGATAGATATTTCGGAGCCGCCTAAATTGTCATCGAGCAACGTCAAGACACCCAATAATCCACCTCGGTATAGGCGTCAAAACAGTAAAGAAAAGAAGATGCAAGGTGTGCTCCCAACCGATTTGTGCCGGACTGAAGGCATGATGAGTGTGACAAGCTATGTGACCATTTTAGAAGACCTCCTCTTCAAGCTACAAATCAACGTTGCAGTGGCAAAAGGATTTCGAGATCTAGAATTACCTGATACGGAAAACACTAAAAAGTACATTGATCTTTGGCCCATTCAGATGTCTGCCGAGATTGCGGCCGAAGGTGTTGGAAAGCAGAATGTTTTAACCACCAATTTTGATACATGTAAGATATTCCATATGGCTTTGATGGCGCTGTCCATATAGCACTCCCTGGATGCTAAGAAGTGATTGGCGATGGATGACCTTTTTTTCTCTATATTAATTACATTTGGATAATTTGGAGTAGCTGACCGTGTCGATAGATACTTTGATTCTTCAGCTCGGGGTCATCTTGAACACTGTGCCTGCTTGGAAGAAAGCATATAGACTTCGCGTGGCTGTATTTGTTGAATATGAAAACGACGTGGAAGAAGAAAGGGGTAGGGTAGAATCACTACTCGAAAATTTGCGTATAGAAGCCGAGATTCTTGTGTTTTGGTTAGCATCAGGGGACGTTCCCTCCTATGAGATCGTCATTAATGGTGCAAATCCCGGTACTCATCACATTGACGAGGTAGAGGAGTGTCTTAAGGGACAAGACTGGTGGGATGAGATACAGAAACTTCGTGGGAATCGTAGAACAACCACGTCTGCTTCGGGAGATTTGGCTCAAATTGCAAATATATTTCAAGCTGCTCCAACTTGGCCGAATGTATCATTTCAACAAGGTCCACGATATCAGCGTGTGCGTATTTGACCTGCCCCTCAATCATTCAAATGTTCATATATTTTCTGTCCCTGCACACTCATTATTTTTAAATGATTCCTGAGCTAACCTGAGGATTCTTTCTAGGCTGAACGATTTCTTGGACTTCGACGGCTACTAAAAAAATCGAAGAAACGACACAACATGAGTACTTTGAAAGGATTGGGTGTCAGTATGGGTATGCGTTCACAGAGACTAGAGCCCGATGTCATGAGCCGACATGCTAGCCACGGAAGTGCTAGCGAAGATTCCGACAGTGATTCCGAGCTCGAGACTGAGGAGTCGGAAGCTGATGATAATGAAAGCGCTGCAAGCGAAGGAGATCTTGATGATTTCGAATCAGATACAGAATCTCACGCCGATGAGATTAGACCACTTTTACGAAGAAGAAGTCATGGCGATAGTTTACGTGGTCCCCCAATTTCTAAGCGTGCAGCCGGAGAAAAGGAGCCGGTTCCTCCCACGATTTCAAGATCCACAAGAGAATCAATAATTAATTCTTTCAACAAAACGCCAGATATATCGATGCCAATCGCTTCAGCGCCTGTGTCACCACCACATGTACCTCAAACACTCAGCACTCAGCCATCACCAGTCCCAAACCTTACCGACTCTCTGCAATCTTTGAAAGACTCGCAAGAGTCTCTGGCGGTTCCTTCCACATCAGCCGCCATTTCGTCAGCATCATCAAACCTCCTACAACCTCGTTCTCATTTATCGAAACCGCCACTCTCTAGACACGCGTCCACTCCAAAATTCTCATCTAAACCCGTTCCAATAGCCCGTGTAGCCACCGAAGACGGTCCAGGCCCCAGCATAATGTTCGCCGAAAACCCCTCTCCCCCTACCACCCGCAAATCCGCGCCTCGTATCCCCTCCGCTTATCGTTCCTCCCCCTCCTTCGATCGCATCTCCGAAGCATCCGACTCTTCTAACACCGCTGCCATTCCTCCCTCGCCAACTCGCTCGTCATATTCTCTGCAATCTCTTCCACTCAGTTTCAACGATCTACCTTGTAGAGCACAGCATTTAATTCTCAATCAATTGATCAAAAGTCAGAGTGAGGAGACGGCGGTTATTTTTACCACGTTGCCGAGTCCGGTGGAAGGAACTGGGGGTAGTAGGGAGGGGAGTGAGGGATATTTGGGGGATTTGGAGGTGCTTTGTGGGGGGTTGCCGCCGGTTCTTTTGGTGCATAGTAATAGTATGACGGTTACGGTTAGTTTGTAGGGATGGGAAACAATCATGGGGGAGAAGAGTTGACAACAGAAGATAGGAGATTTGGATTTAGATGGGTGTTGTTGGTCAGTTGGATAGGTATGCATACAGAAAGGAATACAATTAGATTAAAGATTTCCAGATCTGAAATTCCTATTCTTGATCTTCCAATTCCAATCCCAGTTTCAATTCCATGCCCACGACCCGACGATCTTCCACATTACGTTGTCGCTTTCCTCCACTGCAATTATTAACTCAACATGTCCAACAGTCCAACTTCATCCATCCATCCATCCCATCCACCCCCCACTATATATATTTCCTTCTCTCCCCTCCCCTTTCCACTTTTCCCGTTTCCACCTCCCTCATCCCAATAAATTTTCAAGCTTTCAAACTTTCACCACCAACTCCATCCCCCTCCTCAAAAAGCAAAAATCCACCCCAAAACCACGGCCAACCCTCCCACCGCCAAACGCGGCGTCATCTTACTTTCCCCCGCTCTATTAAAACTAGTTCCCGTTGCGAATCCGCCCGAGTCCGTGATCGTGAAGCTCGTGGTACCCACGCTGGTTTTGGATGGGTTGTGTCGTGTGCTGGTGTTGTTGCTGTTGTTGTTGTTGTTAGTATAAGTTTTGGGAAGATATGGGTGGAAAGAGGTGGATGGTAAGAGGGAAGAGGGAAGAGGAAGGAGGGAAGAGGGGGAAAACTCACAAGGTTCCGTTGGCGTGCATGCTGGGAAATGGACGGCCGGTGGTAGTTTGTGCTTGCACTTGTATGGAGAGTATGAGGAGGATAGTGATAGTGGCGAGGAAGAAGAAGAAGACGGGTTGCGAGGTGCGGGGCATGGTTGGTGGGGAGGTTTGTTTTGTGTTGTGTGGTTTGGTTTGGATATTTTTGGTTTGGTATGGAGCAAGGGAATGCTGCTCTTCGACAGTAGGATACTGGGTTATGAATTTTGGAAGAAATCCACTCGTGAATCTTCACTTCAAATACGTGTACAAAGTGTAAAGCTTTAAACCACCCCAGAGTCTCCCCGCCACAATTACAATCCAAGAGAATGATAAACATTCCCATTCTTATCAATGTAGCATATTCAAATATGCGGCGAGTTATCTTGTGCATGGTTTATTTTGGGATTTCACATTCCAACCACAAGCCCTACACGACCCATTCCCAGCACGCAACTTTTGAAAAGTTTTGGCAAAATCTACCTCTCAATTTGATCTCTGATACCAAAGAAAAACAGAAAAGCAGCCCCAAGTAGGATGTGTCAATGCCATGCTGGTATGCATACAACCTTGCACCCATTCACATTGCTTACTGACAACTTCCGCTGACCAGCCCAGTCTCTTGCATCTCGACTCTCTATTTTCTTATACTGCTGCGCGAACTTTGCTAGCGTGTACGATGCCTCTGCTAATGCCTTATGCTGACCCACACAGGCACGTGGCCCTCCTCCGAAAGGCATATATTCCCAAGGGCTAGGTTTGATAGAGTACCATCTATCCGGGTTGAAGGATTCGATGTCATGACCAAACACCGATTCAACACGATGTAAGCCGTAAAAGTTTGCATATAGCTTTGTGTCTTTGGGTACATAGATGGGCGATTCGCCATCTTTCCCTCCTCCTCTTGGTAGAGTAGTATCTGTCAATGAGATACGAGCAAGGGTTGGAAAGATTGGATAGAGACGAAGAGCTGGGAAGGGTTAGTGTATTTGTGTATGGGTGTTTAATGTGGTATGGCATCTTACATTCATGAATTATATTGTGGAGAAAGCTAAGATCGCGTAGTTTATCGTACAAATGCAGTGACGATTCGAGATCCAATGATTGCACTTCATCCCGTAGTCTGTCATATATCTTTGGGTTGCGCGAGAGAAGAAATAACGTGTTACTGAGGAGAACAGGTGTTGTGTCCTGAACAGCCATCATTCCCTGTAGTGCATTGTCACGAATCTTGATACGATCATCAGTCTCTTTGACAAGGCCTTGAAGAAGACTTTTTTGATTCAACTCGTTTGATTGGATTTTCGAAGCGTTTTGTGCGTTATTTATTTCTGTTTCGATGAGCGAGTCAAGATATTCTTGAACTTGCTTATAGGCCTCTGATTTCATTGACTTCGGAATGAGAAATTGTATGGGACCTAGCATAAATGAGAGTCCCATGCCAAGGAACGATTTTTGGAACGCTTTCAGGAAAGCTGTGACTTCACTCGGTCTTCCATCGGTGCCGGATCTGGGAGCAATTCCCAATATGAACTTCATAGAGGTACCTACGAACTGAATCAAGAGTCAGATTCTTCCATTTCTCAACACGAGTTTTCATCATCGACACTTACGAGACTTGCTAGGGCAGGTTGTAGATCTACTGTTGTGTGACCATCTTCCGGAATGCCCTTGAAGAACTCCTCTGCTGAAGTTATGAACGGTTTTAGATCTGAGATATTCGCTTTGCTAAACGTGGGTCGAAGAAGCACTCTAGCTTTCTGCCACGACTCATTGTCGGTGGTAATGAACCCACGCCCACAGAAAGGTCCCATCACGGGTAATCTGTAAGGTTGGTAACCCCAGTCGGAATTGTTGATAGACCAGGCAGTCTGAAGATTTTCTGAATCAACGGTTCGTAGATCCAACGCACCCAAGTTGTTCACCTCGATTGTTTTTCCGTACTTTTTGTGAAGGTTTGACATAAAGGGAATACCTTGATTTCTCAAAGACTGTCTGATTTCTTGCAGCTTTAGGTCGAGTCCAAAGAACGGATCGAGGTGAGGATAAGTAGCAGGATGCTTGTAGCCATGTCGATGGTTTGATGACTTAGCTTTATTGGCTCGGCTTTTCACAACAACATATAACAGTACGGACAACGCTCCCGTGAGAATGATCAAACTAATATCGAACATCCTGAGTACGGGCTGTATCAAATATTTCAACAGGAATAGTAGGATAGCGTGGTAAAGTGTGTTTTACTGCCTAATATGGAACTCGCATCTTGTCTTGTGTAAATGGTCGAGAGTCAAGAAATATAGAATGCGCAGGTGGAGAAGTAACCAATAGTCACCAACAACAATCTGACGAGACTAACACATGATCAAAACACTAAATAACAAGTACAGAAAATCCATTACATTCCCCAATATCAGTGGCATGATGAATGAGTGAGTGAGGCCTGCTTTGCACTTGCAATACAAATAGCTCCCGTAAATATTACCGTGATGATGTTGCTGTGCTATGCCGTTCTAGCGTTACATTCCATGCAATGAAACCTTAAATAGTTCCAACCATTAGATATTATAGAAATCTAATAAATTTTATATAAATGTCAATTAGAGAATTTATGAGGATACTTGTTTGGCCATATCCATCCAATTGGCTTGAGCGTTACAAGTATTATATTATTAGTGGACTCGGAAAAGAAACATCGCGGCTAGAACAACCGCAAAACTGTCCAGGTATGTACTCACTCTACAAGTTATCCCGGCAAACCCTATAAGGATACGTCAGCGCTTTCATATTTATTCGGTTCAATACAACAAATAGAGATAATAGACAGCAAACATCGAACTGAAAGGCAATTAACCACTCAACCTATGTAACTTCGCTATTGTGCTCGAGACCCGCATCAATTTCTAGTCACACGGCCTTAGGTTTCTCCTGCTGTGCTGCATCCCTTCATACAGCAAACATGTCCTCGAGGCACGTCTCGCAGCTCCGGAAATGGATGTTAGCCTCGCCGCCTATCGAATGGGGCATTGATAAGCTGAGGGAGTTACTCATTGGCGCATTGCGACAAGGTCATATTCCTCAACATGTGGCATTTGTGATGGATGGGAACAGGAGGTTTGCGCGAAGTCATAAAATAGAGACAGTAGAGGGGCATAATCTTGGATTTGAGGCTTTAGCAAGGGTTTGACTTTCTGCAAGATGGTTGATGTTCTTTTGCTAATATGGTTTGTAGATACTGGAGGTCTGCTATAAGTCTGGAGTCAAAGTCGTTACGGTTTATGCATTCAGTATAGAGAATTTCAAACGGTCGAAATACGAGGTGGATGCTCTCATGGAAATGGCAAAAGTTAAGCTGGTGCAATTGGCGCAACACGGAGATCTGCTGGACAGATACGGAGCCAGCGTTAGAGTTCTTGGCCAGAGGAACTTGGTCAAAGACGATGTTTTAGAAGCTATTGATAGAGCTGTGGAGATGACAAAGAATAATGGGGAGTAAGTCATGTTACAATCAAGGTCACTGAGTCTTGATTTCTCTAACACTATTTAGTTGCGCACTTAACATCTGCTTCCCATACACATCTCGAGATGAAATCACAACAGCCATCAAGACTACTGTGGAAAACTACTCAAAACCAACGCATACACAACAGCGACCATTCTCCCAGACTCGAATTACACAAAAGCTTAAGTCAAGGAATATCAGCTCAGCATCGGATCCAACCATAAGAGCAAGCTCTCCGACCCCCTCGAACATATCCGAACCGGACGAATCCGTATCATCCTCCACAACCTTGAACCCCGAGTCCTCGCCAACAAGTAGTCCCGAAGCTGGAGTGTTCCCCGATCCCGAACTTATATCCATAGACACACTTGAAGAGAACCTATTCACAGCCGGGGATCCGCCTTTAGACCTATTGATACGAACAAGTGGGGTCAACAGGTTGAGCGACTTTATGTTATGGCAATGCCATGAGACTACAGAGATAGTTTTCTTGGATTGTTTATGGCCAGAGTTTGATTTGTGGCAGTTTCTACCTGTGCTAGTTGAGTGGCAGTGGAAACAGAAGCATGTGGAAGAGAAGGCGCAGGGTAATGGAACAAAAGCATTGAATATTAGAAGTCGTTAGATATCCAGGGAAATTTTGGAGCGGGAAAGGGCATTATAGAAGGGATTTGGGAGTTGGGAATAATCTTTGTTCGACAGATAATCTACCGCGGCGATAGTATTTTGAAGACTGGTTAATGGAGGATTGTCGAGCATACCTCTGCAAAAGCAGACAATGTATATATCTGCTAGAGGTTTACTAAACTGAACCCTCTTGTCATATGAAAAGTCAAATGTAGGATCGAGTAGATATAGAATATCTATCTATACAACAATTAATCAATGATGATATTAATATCGATTCAATTAAGCTCGGCAGTTAAAAGTTTGAAAGCCTTGGAGGGCACCGTAATTAGACCAATCTGGGCGGTGAGATCATTCTGCCCGCGCATTTTACCCTAGCAGACCGGAGTGATCACCCACCCAAGATCTTTTGCAACTTTACAAAGCTGGCATACATCTTAACAATCTTGAATGCTGAGACGACTTTCTCGAATCTAATGCCAACTTCCAATGGTCTTCAGAAGTCAAAAATTACACTCAGAAACTCTTTGAATCCGGTTTGCGCGTGTCGCACAGCTTCCTCCTCGAATTCCTCTCCTGGTTGTCGAAAATTGCGTCGATAACTCACGATGAAAACCACAAAAGCACCTCCTTTGGACCCCTCTTCGAACCGCAGAGCCCAGCCTCTACGGCAGACACGAAATAATCCACCCAGGTCTTCAATCTCTGGCTCTCGACCTTTGGGATCAAGAAATTCGATTGCCGGTGGTGATGGAGCACCGATTGCGGATCAGACCGTCGAAATATTTCCTGCGATAACCCAGTTCGCAGATGCTATATCTGCGTTGCCAAAGGAACTCGTGCGACACTTTACATTACTCAAGGAAGTCGATGCGAAAGTCTTTGGACCTGAAGAGGAGCTCGCAAGACTCGTCGACATTGCGCTCAACACCCCACCACCGACAACAACACTCAATTATCCTTCCATGGCAAGACCTGCCTCTACGAATAAGCATCATAATGTGTCCAGCACAAATGGTTCAACAGCAAATGGCAACGGTGGGCCTGCGGGCATGGCGATGGAGATGCAGGGGGAATCGTTCGTCCCCGTCAATCCAGCGTATGCTATTTATCATGCTCCTAACATGCCTAGAAGACGACAATTTCAAGCGTGTGCTAGTTATATGCAAAATATGCTGGTATCTCTCGATGAGAAAAACCATGTTATCTCGACCGCTGGCGAAGCACTAAATAAACAACTCGCACGTCTCGATCAATGTTTCCCCCACATCGAGAAAGAAGTTAGTGAAGAGGCACGACACGGCAGTCTTACACATTGGGCATATCCTGAGAATCGAACATCTAAAGCGAATCCTGGTGGTAGCTCTAGAAAGGACGTCCCCCCGGTAAATAACCTTAGTGCCGCGGCACAACATCTAGCAGACGAACACGCTGCGAGGAGTGATGCGAGAAAGCAAGCATTGCTTGCAAGGAAAGGAGCCAAAACCCAACATGCAGACTCGGATTTCGACGATTCTCAAGAAGGGAAGAAAGCAGATTCAAATAAGAGGCCGCATGGAAATAGTAAAGCTCGGAAAGCTACTACTGCCGAGACCCCAACGGGCGTTGGACTTGGGATAACAAACGGAAATGGCACAAACGGAAACCCCCCTAAGAGACGAAAGATTGAGAAAAGTACAATTGCTGGACCATCAACGGAGCGTGCTCTAAATGGGATTTTTGGCAATACTGGAACCGTCTCGAAGGGCAAGGCAGCGAGTCCCAGGCCGACTCCAGCACCGGATGGAACCAAGAAACCAGCAAGAGCCAGAGCCGCACCCAATGGACAAGCAAGAAAAAGGTACGTGGTTGCTGCTGATCGAGAAATGCAGTATTTTCACTAACCAATGATCAATTAGAAATAACACCGTAACCTCCGCAATGTCGCCATCATTAGCATCCTCTCCGATTCGAACTACATTTCCCGATATCAAACCACCGGGGCGAGCATCACCTGCTCCTACAAATGGTGCGAGGCCGGCTTCATCAAGGGCTAGAAAGGATTCAGTACAATCGCTTGCAGATTCAGCACAGCGACCTCCATCCTCAGCATCGAACAAGCTGAACGGAATTGTACCTGGCACGCCTGATCTGGCTGCTGCTGCAAGCGTGACCGGGAAAACCGTTCCGGAGGTCAAGGCAACAATGAAAGAGACTGGTACAAATGCCAAGGGAGAACATCTCCTTGAGGATGCTCAACCACAAAATCCCGAAGTACTAGGCGGCATTGTGGTTGGGAGCAGCAGCGAGAGTATGAAACGAGAAGAGACTGTAGAATCAAATGGAGATTCCATGCAGGGCATTCAATCAACAACAATAACCACCACAAAGAGTGGCAGAGCAAGCAAACCATCAACACCAGCAATGCCTTCTTTCGTCGAGCCAGCCCGCTCAAGGTCATCGCGCAGTATTCCAGATCCCGTATCTACGGCCAAAAGGAGCCACAAGAAAGGGGCAGGTGCCGCCGCTCAACTCATCGCCCAGCAAAACTTGGAAATTGATGATACGACAAGTAGTGCGCAAGGCGACGATGAGGACGCTGAGATTGATGCAGATGAGCCTACCTACTGTTACTGCAATGGCGTTAGTTACGGCGAGATGGTAGCATGTGATAATCTCAGTTGTGAGAAGGAGTGGTTCCATCTCGAATGTGTGGGCTTAAGAGTCGCACCCAGGGGTAATAGTAAGTCCATCCTCTTTTAGGTGGCCCGTGAGAACACGAAACTGACATGGTATAGCAAAATGGTACTGTGATGATTGTAAAGAGAAAATGAAGAACAAGCGCTTCAATAATGGACGATGAGGACAACCGGCAAAACTACAACAGAGGGACAACGGAGTTTTTTTTTCCTTTCGGTACGGTTTTGATACCTAGGTGGGTCATTCCCGGTAGCTTTATGGTGCATATAGGCCCATTGGAGTATGGATATTGGGCGTCGACCTCTTTGGAGGAGAGGGGGGTCGGTTACATAGAGATAGCGTTTGTTTATAATGTATATGAAGTCGATGCAATGAAAGTGGATTCTTCTCTCAAATTCAGGTCAGGCCGCCAGGTCAGGTCGGTGTTGTGCTGTGCAGTTGCAGTGAAAAGTCGGGTTCTTCGGCAAATGCGATGAATGCGCAATCGACCTGAGACGAACTTCTCAATCTCATCATTTACCGCAAGGTTTCTTTAGCGATGATAAAAGAATACCGGTATTGTATTTGATTGATTGATTGGTTGGTCCACGTGATGTGATGGAACACATAACTCGGTACATAACTGTATTCGAGAAAATAAAAAGTCCGAATCAAGATGCTTGCTTGTTACTTACGGTAACTTTGCTCTTGCTCTTTCTTGCTCGTAGAACTCCAAGTCGAGTTTTGGGGGCCAATGTGGATGGGGATGGGGATGGGGATGGAATGTGGAGTGCATTAGGGGGAGGAGGGGCTCTGGAATTGGGAATTGGTGGTTGAAACTCGAGAGGCTGGCTGGGGTGACTTTTTCTCATTTGGATTTATTTGAAGTAGATAGGTATAACCAATAACCACATTATTGTTGGATTTTCCTTATGTAACCGAGTCTGGGCGCTTCTAAGCGAACCAAGGATGATAACATTAACCCCGATCCGCCCTGGTATAGCCCATTTAATTTATTCTCTGTGCTTTGCTCCTCATATAAAATAAGGTGATAAATCTTACATTATGATATGATCGCTGCTCTACTCCTTTTTGCTCTGCTCTTCCCCCCCTTCACTGTTCACATGATCACATCTTTCAACAATAATAACATCTCAACAAGGTGTCTTCCTAGTTCATACCTACCTACCTACCTACCTACATCTCGTACTTCTTCTCATCGAATACCATGATTCCATTACTTTATAAGAATCCCTTTTCAACAATAACTCGAGTATATGAAGACGTAATAACTACCTTGCCACGCCTCATAATATTTGCTTCTCCGCTGCTCAAAACTTATTGGGGAAAAAAAGATTACATCACGCGCATCTCCTATTTGTTTTCTTCATTTGGTACAAAGTAGAAAGAGGTGTCTATCCCTACATAGGTATTTCTTTGACAAAGAGATATCCGTTTTTTGGATTATGCCATAAACCATGCGACTTGCGAACTTGCGATTTGCGAAACAATAAACAATGAAATGAATATCAAGACATACTTTGAAAGCTTTGAAGTAAGGAATGTGAATGTGAATGTGAATACCGGTACCCCCCAATCACCAAAGAGATCATCACCAAAGGGTTATCTGTATCTGTATCTCTACTTCTTCTTTTTGTTTGCATTACTCAAATGATTCATGGGTTTTGAATCACCGGGGCACTTGTTCATTATTCACTACGAGACAATCACAACTTCCACTCCATAGTACCAGTACCAGTACCGGTACCGGGTGCTCTACAAAACATGCTATTTGGGCGGGAATGTTGAATTGATTTAATGTTATACTAGGTAAAGTTTGGAACTACGGTAACTACGGTTATTACGGTATTTGAATCTTAACTTTACCTAAACCACTCTAGTCCTCTATCTATTCCTGAGCTAGTCTGTTTCTACTCGTAGATCTTCCCTTCCTTCCCACGCCACGCCGCCTTCCTTCTTATTATTGATATGCCCCTACCCCTTCTACCCTCCTATCCTATCCTCCTCCTATCCTTCTCCCTCCCTCCCTCAAAAGCATAAATTACAACCACTAAACAACTAAACAACTAAACAACTACAAGGTAAGACTAAATGCATATGCAACATACCATACTCCAAAGTCAAAAGGCAACATTTTCTCATATATACTACAGTACTGTACTACTTATTATTACTTTACTGTTAATCCCCTTTCATCTAATAATCATTCGACGTGTTGTTGTCATAAAGGATCCCTCCCTTCCCCGCATATTAAAAATTGTGGTCATTTTTTTTTGGGGCATTTTCTTACGAAATTGAGAATCTGTTGACTAAGAGATTTTCTTCCAACCCTCAGACTTTTTTTTTCCTTATTTGATCAACCTCTGTACAAGTGCGGCGAGTGCAACCACATCTCAAATATCATAGCGCTACTGGCTTATCTCTCATTCACCGTTCATTCGTCTTCTCGTTGGTCTGTCCCAACCACCTGGATTCGGAAAAGTACTTATTATTCCTGCCAACTTTTCCCCTCATCTCAGGTCGCGTGCTACATAAAATCTATCCGATATGGCCATGGCAAATTCAAACGTACCACTGCCAACAAGGCCGTTGAAATCGGCACCAAACTTAATATCCCGCAAACATTCAATTACGCCACCAACTTCTGATCGTGGAGACAGAACCAGCTTTTCAAGTGTGAAAGAAATCACTTCAGGAGTCCCTCAATCATTTACGGATTCCAAGGTCAGCTCATATCTGAAATACGAAGTCGACGCCAACGAGAACGAGATCGCCATTGACGACACAAGCAGCGGAGGTTCGAGAACTCCCCCAGAAAACGCCGAGACCGACATGCAAACATTGTGGTCTACAAACCCTCATAGCACCCTCCATGGACTCGTTTGCCCCTGCGATGGCTTCCGAGGTTGGAAGCAGATTGCAGTACGTGGTAAGATTGCAAGTAGAAGCTACAGTGATTTGAGAAACATGAAGATGGGCTGGGGCTGGGACAGTGACTATGAGCCAAAGCCTAACCTTGAGCCGGAATCGAAGATAGAGGCACAGCCGGTGATGGAAGAAGTCGGGGTTGGTATTTCTAGAAAATCTCCAATCGAGATGCTACCTGCGGAATTACTTGGTAAGCTATTTCCCTTTGTGATAAATTCCACCTACCGGATTACTGGATATCTATTTACAATACGAACTCGTCTGCTCGCCCAACTCGACTCCAAGGAATCGACCCTCAGGATACGGGTGATGATGTAGTCACATGACTCTAGTTCCTCTGGGACACTTGGGAACAGCTTTATCTACAACTCTGCAATAATCCTGTGGATTGCCAGGAGCTTGAGGTTCAACGTATGCCTATGATGACTTTTGGAATTGTGCTAACATCAACAGGCGCCATAATTGATCAGCTTGTTACGGATATTCCTCCAGGCGGAATCACGCCACGCAATGTTGACTTGATGTCTTTACTCCTTACTTCGCACGCGATGCATTCAGCAACTCTAGCTTCTCTGTATACGAAGATCACTATTCCGCACTCCCGGGTCTTCCGCAAGTTTCTGGCTCACATCAGAGAGTATCCAGCTCTAGGCACGATTGTCCGACGATTAGACTTCTCCCACTTTAACCCGACTGGTATTGGCCTCACAGCTAGACAGCGTGCCGAGACATTGAACTTGATTCCTGCAACTCTTCTCGAATGCCTATCGCTCACCCCAAACCTACGAGAATTTCTGAGCCAGGAGCACATCGATGACGACATGGATGCAAAGGTTATTCAGAAACTCTTCTGCGAATTGCCAAATTTGCAAGCACTGGACTTCTGCGCCTGCTCTTCAGCCTCTTTCCGCGACTCCTTCACTACGGTCCTGAATACCTGCTCAATCCCTGAAACTCTTCCCATTACCAGGTTGAGTTTCCATGAATGCACGAATTTGCCATCTTCAGTCTTCGAGACCCTCATTCCGCGACTTCCGGCCTTGACCCATCTTGACCTCGCGCACACTCGCATTACCGACGACATTCTTTTCTCTATTCCCCAATCAGCGCGGCTTACGCATTTGAATATTAGCAAATGTTCTTACCTCTCAGGAGAACGGGTAGTTGAATTTCTTAGCACACACCCTGCTGTGAAATCGCTATCCTACCTCAACCTTGGTTCCGATATCAAATCTCACGAAATGTTCAATCGCTACGAGGTTACAGCTCTACTTCCGATCCTTCCCGATACTCTTCGATCCTTGAGTCTCAAAGGTAGCGAAATGCATGAGTCGCACATCCCACTCTTTCTGCCACTTACAAAACATCTCGAGGAGCTTGGTCTAGGACATGGCTTGGTGTTGTCTGATATCCGTCGACTATTTGTACCCGACCAAGATGCTAGTATCGAAGAACAGATTGCATGGGTTCCGCACACGCTGCATTACATTGATGTGTCTGATCTCTCAAAGGGTCAGCTCGATCTAGGCACTTTATTCGGTTCGAGCTGTCCAATACTCAGAAACGACACCCTACCCCTCGAAGTCCTCGAGATTAACCTAGAAGTTTTCAAAATTATGAGTACCAGTTCTCTCGTCAAGCGTGCGGGCTGGTGCTTGAAAGAGGCCGGTCGAAGATATTGGTTAGTGCGGAATGAGAATACCGAGGAAAGCGAGAAGGACTCTGGAGGAAGACAATGGAAATGGGGAGCCAATTACTGGGGTATGAGGAAGATGCCCGTTGCTAGAGCGGAGGTGGGAGGCATGTATGGACATTACATGTTCAAGCGATAAAGAAAAAACGCGAAGAGAGAAATGGTTTCTTTTGGATCTTATCTTATTGGTCTCATGGTTTTCATGCGATGTTTTCGGGGTCGGTCCAGGATACCATGCACTTTTCGGAGCGCCTTGTTTTGCAGGAGTTAATTTGTTGGAGCGTTGGTTTGTTGGATGGGAAGTTACTTTCTACTCTACTCTTTATTCTAGTCTGATCTGATAGGCTTTTTTGGGGGGGGGGTATCGGGGATCATTGCGGGTGGGATGGAATTGGATATACCTTTACCGCTCGTGGGCAAAAATGGACACGAAAGTAGCATAAGCAGAGGATAGCATACATGGCATTAGCGTCTTTTGAGTAGCCCAAAAAAAAATCATAAATCTGAATTTAATGAAAGAAGGGTTTTCTAGGTGATTATTTTGCTTCAGTTTAATTGTGTGGTACGGGTAGTAGTCACCGTCACGTAGTGTGCTTCTTTTGACAGAGAACCCTGTGGCACCCATCCTTAGGTATATACATACAGTACCTAATTTTCAAATTCGGCTCGAAACACTCACTACCTCTGAAGAATCTAAAGATAAGATTATATACCGGTATCTGTTACATCTATCTACCTATCTAGTATACCTACCTATGATCGATCCTCTTGATCCAATGAATGCTCTTGCTAATTATCATATACTGAGTAGTAGCTCATCGCTTAAATTGGCTTAGTTTGGTTTATAACCTTATAGCTAGGTAGGTAGTCAGCTACTGCATTTAACTTACCTAGGTAGATAGGTAGGCGGCGGCATCTCTCACTTCGTTACTTCGAGTCGAGTACGGTATTTCTTTCATTATTATATTATTATATTATTATAACAATCATCCTTCTTGTTTTGTTCATTCGTGATTGTTAATGATTGATATGTTTATATCTGGTTATATCTGTTTTATATCTGTTTTATTTGAATGCTTGGATGCTCGAATGCTTGGATGCTTTACATACTAGGTAGATACTTGTGGTGGTGATTCTTTGGTTAAGTATATAGTCTCTACATGTCCAAGTCTAGTCTCTACAAGACAAGGCAATCATCTCACAATGGGTGGCAAGCACCTTCCTCATGAGTTGAGATGAGATGAGTTGAATTAATAGTTTCCATATCGGTGCAGTAAATAGTTAGTCAGACCTCTTTCCAATATTCAAGTACATACTCGTATTGTCTCTTTTATTACCAGTTATTTATTATATTGTATATTTGTTTGAGAATAAACAAAATTTGAAGGGAAAGAGTATTGCAAAGTTTACTAGATTCAATATTCAACTGTAGATTGAATCCGTAATTTGAATGTATGTTGCTAACTTCTTACTTGAGTAGTCTCGAATAAATCAACTGCAATTTGCAATTGCAATTGCAAAGAAGAATCCTTTCACGGTTCTCAATGTCCGAGCCTAATTGGTATAATGGTATAATAGTACAATAGTACCATGGTATCGAAGCCAATAAAATGTGAAGAGATGGAGATGGCCAGCCGATCTGATTTCCTGCTGTGATTGATGACTATGTTATGTTATCAGGAATGTCATTTTTGAAAATATTCCCAAATTGGGTGTCTGGGTCTGGGTCTCTCTGTTGAGCAATGTGGGCAACTTGGAGGCTTAGAAAGATTTCGGCTGCCGTGCTGCGGTTCTTTTACAGAATCATCGTTGTTGTTATTGTAATCTTCTTGGAATGGGTATTTCTAGTCGCTGGCTGGCTGGTTCGAGCGATTTAGGCGATTTGGGCGACTTGGAGGAAAGTTTCGGTTGTTGCACGGTGGTTCAAGTCACGGAAACATCGTTGTTGTTATTGTGACCTTTCTGGAATGGTCGATCATTATCGCTGGCTGGGTGGGTAGTCTTTGGGATTTATTGTTTGAATACATATCACGATCGATGTTACTTCTCTCTCATCACCCGGATTTGTCCTTGATCTTAGCACTTTTTGTCGCTGGCTGGGCAGCCTTCAGGATTTATCGCTGGAACCCAATTGATGTCACTTTTCTAAATCATCCAGATTTGGTCTCGATTTTGGTACTTTTTGAAATAGACACTTCTTGTCGCTGGGCTATGAGAATCTTTTGTTAGAAAGTTGAAACCCATTGATAAAGTTTCTTTCATTACACAAACCATTGCAACGATTTTGGCAATGGCCAGTATGTTTCTATCGAAAGCATCACCTATACGACCAGCAAAGACTCAGAGAACAACTATATATATGGATCAAAATAAGTTGTTATACTCAAATATATCAATATATAAAATTGCCAATACTATCATTGGATTGGTATTCGAACACGACAAAATCTACAGAAAAGCTATCAAAGCAAATGAAAATCCTTTGCCAACCAGTTTCTACAAGACAAGAGAATAATCAATACCAACTGGAATCTGTTTATTGGATTGTTTCTTTGGTGTTTTCTCGATCGTATTATATAAAGGGCAGAAGCAAAAAAGGTCTAATATAAGAAGTCAGAATATGATTTGAAGTAGTTGAATTCCGCTCTTTTCTATATATATCTATATTATAGTCTTTATATTTCCGATAACTAGAAGATCAAATGTATCTTTACTATAGTATAAGTTTTCGAATTATTAGTAATTAATAGTCTATATCTACTATATTCTGTATCTAGATTAATCAAGTATCGGTACAACATATTATTTTGGCTAATCAATTAATCAATCACAAAACAAGGCGAGCAAGGATTCATCGCAAGGAAGAATAAATTATACCAAGTTTAGTTGTCTGTACTGCAGATCACTACTGATTCATATATTTGATTTGGGCAGTAACAGGGTATGTAATTACTGAGTAGGTAGGGTAATCTTGATACTTTGAGTTTAGTCAGGAACCGAAAAGGGGATGTTTCCTTACTTGTACCTAGGTACCTACGTACATATATATTCTTGATTTGGCATTTTCCTTTCTTCAACTCTCCTGGCTTTTGAAGTGAAAAGTACAACAAGCTACGAGCTACGTACAATTTTTTGAACAAGAAACGATTGGTTTGTGAGGGAGGGGTCTTTCCTTTTTGAAAAGCTTTGGATTTTGAAGTTAGTTTTGGTTTGGGTTTGGAATTTGGACGAGCTTTTTGGTGGTTGGGATTTGGGATTTGGGATTTGGGATTTGGGATTTGAGAGCCGGACTGAGGACGCTTTTGGACCGGACCGGACCAAATCAGGGTCGAGTTTGAAGTTGGTGTTGGAGGTGGAGGTAATGATGGGATAACGAAGAACGGCACCGATATATTTTATTTACCTTTGCAGAGGGTTTCGCAGACGACATTCGCGATAACAAAATTATTGGGGAGTTAGTTCTTGGGAAGAGGGATCTAATTGTTGAAGGGTGATAGCTGCGAAAAATAGGGGAGGATGCCTAGTAGAGGGGATAGAGAACCTCGGAAGCGTAGGAGTAGGACGAGTCGGGATTTGGGATATGAGGGGTATGATGGGCAGCAGGGGGATGATTATGGGGATGGAGTTGGAAATGGGAATGGGAATGATTATGGACAGGAGAGGAGGAGGGATACGGATAGTAAGGAGAATAGAGGGTCCAGAGATTATGATCATAATTTAGTAAAGGGGAAGAGGCTTGTTGATGGCAGGAGATATGATGTTCAGGCTCCTGATGCTTCGGTTGTGTTGGAAGGGTATCGAGCGGATATTTTGAATGGGTTTGAGGAACCACAGGCGCGGTACAATCCGGTGAGTTACACATCGTCGTTGTGCGGAGGGATTTTGAAAGAAATTTAAAAGGCTAATGCTGGTAATGGCACAGGGAAATAAGGCGCATCCGCAAAGCTCTATGTTACTCAAAATCAACGATCCTATACAAGTACATTTATTGGTGGAAACAGCGCTCTGGGATGCAAAGGAGTACGAAATCTTATCGCCAGAAGAAGTCGATGAACTGAAGAAACAATGCCAGTCCCTGAACCAACGGATTCAAACTGCGCGACAAAATTTGGCGGTTCATTCGAAATATCGCGATGCGACTCGTTCAATGTCAAAACTATATCCAGATAAGAAGAAGAGTGTGGATTCAAATGATCCCAATAAACAGAAGCGCGGGATATTTGGAAATAGAAATAGAAGCAATAGTGATCAGGTTCGGGAAGCTGATTTGGAGCGTGCGGCTAGTGAAAAGAAATGTGAGGACCTGGCAGCCGAGTTGTGGTCTTTGGAGAAGAGATTGATTGAGCCGGAGAATCGACTATTGAAGCATACTGCGGGTATTCTGCAGATGACACATAAAGGCCCCAAACGAGATACAGGGGGGGAAGATTTTCACCAAGGGGTTCCACTTGGAAGTCCGGAAAGTATGTACACATATCACAATGCTAGGAACACTCTCGAAGTGATCGAAGATGAGTTTGATGAAAGGAGTTTTTACCGACAATTGGATCCCTTGGATATATCTTTTGGCGCTTTTGGTATGAATCAGGCATTGGAAACGCCATCGACGGAAAGGTCAAAAGAGCACATACAACTCATCTCGACGACTGAACAGAAATTGGAGGATCTTAATTCTGCTCTGAGAGAAGTCATCATTAAGGCTAATCCTGACCACGATGCGAGTCATAAACCAGTACCACTTGCAAGGACGAATGCTCAAGGGAAACCAACCGAACCTGGAGAGACTTTACAGAGTCATCTTGAATACTTGGAACAAGGTATTGCTACTCTGGGTCTTGAGCATAGTGCCACCAAACGACAAGCAGATGAACTTAATGCTTCCATGGAAGATACTTTGGAAGAATTGAACCGTGAGGTTAGGGGTCTTCTTTCTCCTACACATCCAGAGTTAGAAGAACCACCAGCCATCACCGGACAACAAACTGGTTTAAGGAAGCAATTGTATTATTTCCAGGATATTATTGCTTCGGTAGAAGAGGAACTTACAAAGGCTGCTGAGATAGTTGCGAAGCCTCCAGTTAACAAGAGTAAATCTGGAGACAGTGATCAAATGGAAGCCGTGCTGATGGGTCTGTGGGATATCATACAATCTGGGGAGGAAGAAATCCGAAAACAGAAACAAGAGCGGAAACAGAACCGGGCAGCGAATGGTCGCGCTCCGCAGGATGAATCCGATACTGGTTCTGATATGGGTGATCCAAATGAGCCATTCACACTTCAATCGTTTTCAGCCAAGGTACAGTGGCTGTATTCTTCAGCTACTAAACTGAAGGAGCACAAGAAGGTTCTGCAACGACAAATCAAACAACAACGAGAACTAAATAATACGTCCGATGCCCAAAAGGATGCCGAGTTAGTGAGTAAGCAAGAAGAGCTTGACAAGATCACGGACCTTCTCGAGAGGACAGAACGCAATGCCACCGAACTTCAGGAACAACTCAGTAACGTTACGACTGAATTGACGAAAGCGAGACAGGCGGATAAGATGGACACTGATGCTCAAGCCAAGGACTCTGTTGTTCTTCGTGAAGTACAAGAACAGCTCACCAGCGCTCGTCGCCAGCATGAGGATGAGCTTACAAACTCTCATCGTGAAGCTTCGGAACGCATTGCTAGTCTTACCGATGCGCATCGTGATGCACAAGAACAACTTGCGATTGCAGCTCGTGATTCGCAGGAGCGGATGGCTGGCCTGGCAACTACTAATCGCAATCTAGAGGATCAGCTCTCTTCTGCTAACAAAGAGATTGAGGAATTGGAAACAGAACTGCAGGAACTCAAAGATGATCATGGCATTAATAGTGCTGATGTGACCAGCAAGTTGAGTGGGCACGAAGCTAGGATCGCAGAGTTATCGACTGCTGTGGCTGCCGCGGCCACGACTAGAGTTGCTCATGAGAATTCCTTAAGGGAGAAGGATAGGCTACTCGCGGAGAAAGAGAAAGAGGTGGGAGACATCAGTATGAAGGTTGCAGAATTGCAAACCGAAGTTGTTATTGCAAGAGCAGAACTTGATGGCGCATACGGTTCACGAGCTCAGCGTGCTGCAGAAGTCGCCTCGAATCCCGTCATTCAGAAAGAAATCGATGCAATGACTAAGAAGAACAATGCGTTGCAAGAACAAATGGACGCACTCCATAATAAAAACTTCATGCTGCAAGGCGAGATCGCAGAACTTCAAGCGGCGAGATCTCCGGGTCTAGGAGCAAATAATGCGGAAGCGGAAACGAAGCTTAAAGAACTCAAAAAGGAACTCGAGGAAACGATCGAAGAGTATGAAGTGATGACTAAAGCGTCGATTGAATGGGAAAAGGAGAGAGAGAAGTTGGAGGGGGATATTGATAAATTAAGGGATGAGAGGGAGAAGTTGGAGAGTGCATTGAGTGATGAGAAAGTGAGGTGGTTGGGGATGGGGAGTCCTGGGGATGGAAGCGTGACGCCTGGTATGGGTAATACGAGCACGACGGTGTTGAAGGATGAGTTTAAGAGGATGATGAGGGATACGAGGGCTGAGGGATTGAGGGCTTTGAGGGTGAGTTTCTTCTTTGGGGGATTTTCGATTATTTTTGTTTTCTGGGAATAGAATGATGCTAATAATGAAATTAATAGGCCGAACAAATAGAGAGAAGAAAAATCGAAGAGGAATTGAGGGCAATGAAGAAGGCGCAAGGTCCGGGTAGATCGGGCTTGAGTCAGAGTGTTGCTTGATTATCATCACTTACTTGTTGGTATTGAATAAGATGGGATGGGGTACATAGTAGCACGTTTCGAACTTAGATTTGGATGGTTGGTGTACTCGAGTATTGGACTGGATTGGATTGGATTGGAGATTATATAAGCATACCAGATGTGTATTGGGAGCTTAAAGGGGGAGTTCGTTTAGGTACGGGATGGGTATACCTTTGATGTTAGGTTAGGGCTGATGTTGATGATGAGATTTGGGTACTTGAATTAGTTGTATCGTATTGCATGGTATGGCGTGGCATTGATAGATGCAGATGGGAGCAGACGGATGGAATGGGATGGAATGAGAAGGGATTTTAGCGTTTTGATAGCATTGGATTGTATTGTTTATTATTGCTATTCAAGTAGGTGCTGTGAGCAATGCAATGTATGCGATGCTTGCTTGCGATGGGATGGGATGGGTTGAGGAATATTTAATAGTAATTATGTACTCGAGTATGCACATTGCTAAAATAAATATACATACAGGAAATGAATCTATAAATGACTCGAGGAATGAGGAACGAGGAATGAGAAATGAGGAATATGTAAAGGATATAGTAGAGAATAGAGAATCTCGGATAAGTGGACTGAATATCATTCATTGTCTGAATACACAATATACAATTTCCAATCTCTAAGGATAGCAAAATATATACTATACTATACTATACTATACGTATTATATACACCTTAACAGCCTATTCGAGTAGTAGATATCTACTTCTACTTCTATTACGATACACACACACAACTAGCACTACTTGTAGATAGATATATGAATGTTTAAAACAATCGAGGAAGGAACAAGAAACAAGCAAACAAACAAATAAGCGAAATACCTACCTACCTACCCCTTTTACTGTATTCCCACTCAGTATACTATAGTACTATACTATACTATACCTACGAGTAGTGCGAGTATACCTTACTTACACCTAAAGTTATTTTACTAAATACGGGTCTGTGATGGGAACTCTCAAATTTCAAGAACGCATCGCATCGCATCGCGACGCTGATTAAATGAGATGTGATGAGATGAGGTGGATGGATGGATAAAGAGTTGCGAGATCGATATTGAGTTGTGTTTCTGTGTTTCTATACTGTCGCATTCAACTTGGGTTGTTGGTATTCATACAGTCCCAGAATTTCTGGAACGTGTGTTATTGTCAGCAATACAATACGTTATTATTACATGTACATCTACAACTACATGTACATTTAGCGAATAAACTTATTGTAAATTGTGTGCTAGTTGGGTACTTGGTAGGTAGGTATTCATTCATGACTCGTAAATCTTTCTATGCTCCTCTCGTCTCATTAGTTTCCCACTCCCCCGCTCCATATTTCATCTAATGACTCCCTCACTCCACAGTAATCCTCACCACCTCCGCTTCCAACGTCTCGGCATCTAACAGCACAATCTCGCCCGTCTCTTCAAAACTCGGTATTGATATTAATCTAACGGTTTGGCCATCTGGCCCCTCAATGCTTGCTGAATCGAAAGAAGGCTGGTTGCCAGCGAAAAATATGTGGGGACATGTGCGGATTATAAAGGGGTCGGCGTCTTGAAATGGGTAGGACCCTTGATTGTGTTAGTTTGTCTCTCTGAAGATTGCGTGTATTTGTTGAAACGGGAAGGGAATGCAGGGTAAAAAACATACACAGAGTATCAGGTGCAGTAGGAGCACAACACCTCCACCTACACATTGCCTCCATCATCCTCAAGCGATCCTCGCCCTCGACATATTTAAACACATCGTCCACATTTTGTCCACCGGTCCCCAAAACCCTCCACCCTTCAATCTCTCCCTCCCATGGATTCGTCACCGTATCAAACCATCCCGCCTCCCTCTCCTCTCCAATAACACTCGGCGCACTCCCACAATACGTCCTCGCTTGGGGAAACATGGCTGGATGAATAGGCTGTTGCGGCAGACTTGCATTTGCCGGATCGCTGGCTCCAGGCAATAATGTAATGGGTAAACTTGGTAATAGCTCGGCGAGGAAATTATCAAAATGCGCGGTAGGAGCGGGGTTATAGGCGCTGGCATCATAGCCATATTTCTTTTGTGCTTTCCGTGTATTGCCGACGGTGTCGTGGGCTATGCTGTCGAGATCCGAGGCGATGCTGTTGCCGGCTATTATGAGACGACTTATTTTTGAGACGTTAGTTTGTGAGGAGGGATCTAGACTTTCGCCTAAGAGGTATTCCGTCAAGAGGGTCTTTTCGAGAGAATTTTCGGCGCTGGTCCCTGAGAAGGAGAGACCGGATACGAGTGCGATTTTTTTGCGTCCTGCTTTTGAAGTATCCATATCCATATCCTCTTCTTCTTCTTTCTGTCCTGATATTTCCCACCTAGGATCTTGTGGCGGTAAATCAGGTACCTTGATGTCCACCACTTCGAAATCTCCATTTGCATTTTCTGTGCCCATTACTGCTACTATACAGCCTGTAACTAGCATTTCTGTATTTACTTGTCCTAAAATTAATCGTAATCGTCCAGATTCGTCCTCGAGCATTATTTCATCTTCGCCGTTGCCTGACAGGTATTTTCTTCGAGGTGGTGGTGCCGATATCCAATGCTATTTCCAGAGTTCAATCAGTATCACGAGTCAATACTTCATCCTCTTCTGTTATTTGCAAATTGCATGAAATAAGAAGGAAATTCCATACATCTTTACTTATATCTTCCAAGATATTCGGCTTAAGTGGCATATGCATATAAATTGTACCTGCCACCCAAGATAATTCTCCCTGTCTAACATCCAATACTCTCTCCACTTTCCGCACCGTCTCTCCAGAGATTTGAAACCCATCCCAAGCAGCGCTGGCAATTTCTTCAACGGGCTTCTTTAGAGACGTCAATCGTAGAAAGTACATATCACCATACTGTTGCTGGTAGTGTTTTGCTTTGGAAAGTGCAAATGTAGAGAGAGATTTGTAGGATGAGGGGGCTCGAGTCGGTGGTGAGGAGTGCGAAGTGCTGCAATTGAAGAGACTGATTAGTTTGAAAACATACAAGTATTAATTAGATAGAATAATCACTTACGTAGGACCACGCAGTAAGCTACCATCTTTTACAGGTATCGTCATGTCGTTGTTATTTTTATTATTACGAATATTGGAACTTTTGTTTAATAACGAAGTCGGGAAACGCGCTGGAAACGCGACTGGTGAATTCTCGTGTAGATTACAAACACGTGATCACTTTCCTCCTCAACCAATGAACTTACAGCCTGCCAAAACATGCGTGTACAAATAGCTGATTATTAGACTGGATATTCTTTCCGGACTTATAATAGCAAATCTGGAGAATAGCTTTCAATGATATGTAAGATATCATTCAAGCTATAATTGAAATCCACAGTTCATCGATTTTACATGCTGTTATCTTATCTTCAATGATCTGATATTGGCAGATTTGAGTATTATAAAACAGTTATACGAGTATACGACGTCTAATATACGAGCATAGAGAGAGACTTTTGATCTTTTCGATTTTCAAATCGGGGTTTGATTCAATCATATATTTTCTATCCAATATTACCCATCCTTGTGTCCGCAAGGTGTGATCTAAGCTCCTAAGCGTGAGAAGTATGATCTTTCAAGCAATCCCAAGCACATGCGTTAGACAGAGTAGATCAAATATATTCCATTAACTCCATTTTTGATAGAGACCATGCCAACCCCATAGACGAAACCGAACCTTGCGCCGTCAACACCACATCCTAACAACAAAATGCAAATGCAAACGCCACTATACTCCAGAAATGCTAATTTATATCCCCCAAGTGATCTCCCCATTGTTGAAGGTAAAGTGAAACGGTATCCTAAGTAGTTTGTCCATTGTTGAAGGCAGGATGATGCAATGAGTGATGGTTGGCACCTTAAAGCACTCAACAAGTAGGCACGAATGTGGCTCTGATCTCATAATCGAAATCCTATATAGTAACTTGCCTTTCTCCACCACTAACTACTCTTCGATGTAAGGAGTCCCGGACTGCATGAACTGGGGATAGATATAATCAGCGCCTTATCTCTTTCTTTTCCAAGGCGATCTCTGTTTGGCGATCTCTGTTTGGCGACCTGTCAGTCTAACGCCGCTCTCCTCGCCCTTCTCTTAATCTTTTCTTCTTCACTTTCTACCTTAGGCTTTGACGTTGGCTCCGTCGGCTTTCTTGTCCGGGCGGTTTCTTTCTCTGTTCGGTCTTTAGGTGCCCTCCCTGTCCTTTCTTTGGCCTTCTGGAGCGCTTCCGTCATTTCCTTCAATTTCCCCGCGGTATGAGGACTCATTGAAAGAGGCTTTTCAGGTTTCCCATGAAGTTGCTCATAAGTATCCTGTCTCTTGATTTTCTTTGTAGGAGTATCGTCCTCGGAGCTCTGAGGGTTTCGACCTATTCGGTGTTAGTAAAAAAAACCCAAAAATTCGAGATCTCTCTTACTCTTTGCTGCGGGACTCATACCACGATTTGGGGTACGTGGGGGGGACTTAATCAAAGAACTACCCAGGCGGAAGAATTTATCGCCAGATCGAGCTTCTTGTTCTCTACGCTGGACTGGAACTTCTGGTTTCTTAGACTTTGATCCAGATGGTTTTTTATCCTCATCCTCAGACGAAGACCATGCAGATCGATTCGGCTTGTTCGACGCCGTTTTGGCAGTATGTGCAACCTCTCGACCAGTGGAGTTTTTGGGGATGATCTCGGTAACTGAAGTCACAGATAGTTGCGAGTTTCGAGAATCATCGTCAGAAATTCCGGTACGCTCATACATGCCAACGAGGTCTTCGAGAGTGTCAGATTTTTTGTGGCCGCGAGAACGGTCTCCACCAACTCTACGACTAACGTCTCTAGAAGCCATATTCGGATTTCGAGTTAGTTTATGAATTTGGGAAAGGATAACGAGAAAAGTTATTATGGTGAGGATAATGAGGATGATGATGTAAAGCTGATGAGAATGGAGCTACAGAATATGCTTTCATCTCATCAGTCATATTTATACTTGTTCAAGCCAAACTAACATCGTTGGTTTACGATAAACCATGATGTCGACCAGATAAAGTGGAGGTAGGCCGTTGATGTCTCTGCCCTCGGCTCTACGACGAGGTCATCAAAAGCTCCACGGGAAGCGAGTTCAGGTTGGTGAGGTCGATGTTGGAATGGTCTTGCGTTGGGGCCATGTCTTTAGTTAGGTAATAAAAAGGTAATAAACAATGTGGAGGGGTCAACGAAGGGCCGCTCGCAGCGAAGTGGGCTATCCAACAGCTCAAAGGTTTGCAAATAACATATTGAAAGTTTCTTACAGCGTATAGCCATAACTTCCCAGAAGCAATCGGTAGAAGGTGTTGCAGTCATAGGTATTAACTATCTTTGAATTCCACACCAATACATTGGAAATGGGCACTTACCCAGCGTCTGAAAAAACAAGAAAGATGCGGCAATATCCATATGGGCTGACTGCGAATACGGACATGGCCTCTTCAAGTATCTGAAGGAATAGCTAATAGTAAGGCCAGCAACTACTCGACTAGACCCAAGACCACAAAGACCCGAACTTACAAGCCATCATTAAATAACTCGCGTACTCTCGAGTGAAGCTGGCCAAGGTCGATTCTAGAAATAGACTCGAATACCATCTAACCAGTATTAACGACTTCACTGAGCGTATTACAAACTCTCATGACCGGAAAGCACCCATGAAACGCAATTTCCAGCGCAAAGTCTTTTCACCTGTATAAGTATCATGGTAGACTTTCCATTGTTGCGGAAGTTCATCATTGTGAACTTTACCACATATTTCGATTATTGTCTCTAGTCGGCTCGAATACTTCATATATTTCATTGCATTTGCCGAACTTTTCCTCATGATCTTGAGTGACCAGGTTCACACACCCAGTTGGTAGGTAGTCTGATGTCCACATTCATATCTTCAGTATCTTACACTTCGTGCGCGTCGATCTCCAAAGGCACAGCTACCGTGGCATCGTTGTGCCCATCATTTTACTCGTCCTCATCGTTCCCAGCACCCCAAATGCCAATGCCTCCTCCATCCTTCCCCACCATCTCATCATTGGCGACATTTGTTGATAATTTCAAACACTAATAGCTTTCCTCTAATGACTCAAAGTGCTTCTTTTCTTCGACTTCCTCCTCTGCAGCGTTGCTTTACCCTTCCTTGTCTTACTTCTGCTCAAAAATCCATGTCTCCTCTTTCGCACAAAGTGACTTGGACTAAATGTATCTCTTGGTCCACAACGTACTTGTGTTGTGCTCAAAGCTGGATGTGTTGAGATCTTCGGGAGCAAATCTAGTGGTGCTGCTTCTGAAGCAATAATCGCAGACGAGGTGGGTTTGAATGCGGAGAGAGATAATGTAGGCCGGAGGGGTGTGATTGATGTGAATGTTCTGTTTGGTTGTGAGTGTGGAGAAGTGACTGCTTGGATGTATGGAATCTACCTTTTTGCCAGAATAGAACTTGCGTGTGAAAGCACCCTGGGTACAATTGGAGTAGTCCTAAAACTATGAGAGCAGCGTAGACACAACATTTTGCTTCAATTTGTGAATATCCTGGCCCGGGCTGGAATTGGAGGTTGTTAATCATGCTGTATCAAATCGAAAAAACGTGCTAGCGGATACTTCCCCGCCTCAATCGCAAAAAAATCTCGAGCCTCATGATAATCCTCGAATTCGCACCCCAAAAGCCAACTTCTTGAACAGTTTCGAACTTTGTCTGATAACTACAATTGATTTTTCTTATATCTAATCTCGAACAAAAATGAACGCTTTTCCACCCCACAAATCCATTCCCTCTATCCCCGTCAATCAAACCATCGCTCTCAAATACCTACAAGAATACCTCTCTCTCACATCCAGCACACCATATCTCCTCCCTAACGCCAAACTCGAGCCTACGGGCCCTACAATTGGCAGTAGTAACTCCAGTGTTACTATTCACAATCTCCAACGAGTTGAAGCCGGTCTACGCGGAGAATGGCTTGCGCCGACATTAGAACTTGAGGAGGAACATGCCGTGGAGATTGCGCAAGGAGCGATGCAGGGAAGCGGGGGTGACACAATGGAGGTAAATGGGTGGCAGGATAAGGAAGAGTTTGAAAGAGAACAGAGCATTGAGGAGGGAGATGTAGGAGCTAGGGTGCAAAATGTGAAAGACAGGCAGGTTGACAGTGATTTGGAGGATGAGCCAAGTGCGAATAAGACTCTGGATTCACCGAACGCTACGAAAGCGACCGTGGGGGAATTGTCCAGGCAGGAGAAGGACGCACGAAAGGCAGAGAAGAAAGCGAGACACAAGGCGGAACTGAAGGTGAAGGAGAAGAAGAAGAAATCTACAGCATAACGAGCACGGCGAACTACAGGTCACAAATTTTTGATGCATTTTAGCGATATTAGAAGGATTCTTCTTATTCAGTCTATACGGTACATCTACAGTTCTCTACCACTGGCTTTTGCGACCTTCTCGTCCTTTGCAACCTTCTCATCTTTTGCAGCCACGGGTGCAACCGGACCACTCGACTTCCATCCTAGAGCACCCAATCTCTCCGACAAAATTGGATGCGAGAAATGGTAGCTTGCATACATCCAATCGGCATCCATAGTGCTCAGATTCTGGATCTGCAATTTGATCAAGGACCGAGCCAGCTCAGCCTGGTATCCGAGTCCTTGTGCGAAGCTGTCTGCTTCAAACTCGTACTTTCTGCTCAGGATGTTCATCCAGAGCTTTATGACTGTGTCCATAGGGGCAAGCGCATCAGAGAACAAGATGAAGCCGATTATGATTGGGAACTCGTTATGGAAACCAAAGGATTGGTACAAGGAACGGTTGTTGATGAAGACGGAGAACAGGGAGAAGATGTAGAAGAAATGGAGCTGCAAATAGTTAATAACAATTCTGTAAAATATAACCCAAACCTGCTTACCTGTGAAATTCCAAAGAGCTTTGTAGTATGTCCGCGACTCCAGTGACCAAGTTCATGTGCCAGAACAGCTACAATCTCTTGTGTGTCGCTCTTCTCAATCAAGGTATCATAGATGACAATATGCTTCTTCCATGGCAGACCAAAGAAATAGGCATTACTATGAGCACTGCGCTTGCTGCCATCGATAACATGCAATTCGTGAAGAGGGAAGTTTAGACGCTTAGCCAAGTCTTCGACACCATCCTTCAATTCTCCGGGTTCGAGAGGTGAAAGCTTGTTAAACAAGGGCAGAATCGTAATTGGGTAAATGGTAATCATGAAAACCTGGAGCCCAGCGCCAAACATCCACAAGTAGTAGAAGAATTCTTGACCAGTCTGTTGTATGATAGAGAGGAACCCAGCGAGAATTGGTGGAGTCAAAGCGAATGCCAACATTTGTCCCTTCAACATATCTGTAACGAAAATTTGAGGAGTTTGTTTATTGAAACCGAACTTCTCCTCCAGCACGAATGTCTGATAAATTGAAGTCGGCAGCGAAAGAATCTGTTGGATTATGATAAAAGTAAGGACGAAGACGATTGAATGAGAAATCTCGCCGCTGAATCGAGCGGGTGCAAGTTGTAGAAGCCATGAGCCAGTCAACTCCCAGAGCTTGGGAAGAACGTCGAAATAAATGAATGCCGTGTTTTGGATTTGTCCATAGAGTCCTGCCACGAAACCAAACTTTGCTTTTGCGCGTCCATATGCCTTTTGGGAAGTCAGTGAGTGGTAGTGGGGAGATGGCAAGGCTGACAATAACATACCTGGCTTTTGTCAAAAACTTCTTGTGAGACCTCATTTGATAGAACCTTGGGTGGACGAGTTTGCTTTAAGACTTGGTATTGGCGGAGAGAGAGGAACCCTTCGAATAAGTATTGTGCAAGAGAGAATCCAACGATGAGCTTCTTCCAAGGGAATAGTGGTCTATCAAGGAAATGCGCAAGGCGCTGGAATGACATAGTTAGTATTTGCTAGGATTTAAATGGAAATACGACTGGAACTGTATATACCTGAAGGAAATCCATCTTTAATCCAGAATTGAGATGGGTTGCTGGACACAAATCAAGAGTTGGTCTTGTTGTTCAGTCGGAATTGAAGGATTGTAAAGAGGTCTTACCTACAATGCCCAATGCCCTACTCGAGTATATCTGTCCACCGTCGCCTAACCCCTAAGGCGCCTACCTCATCTTACGCCTAGGACCTCCAGATGATTCACTAGAAACATCTTTTTCACTTAATTGATTCTTTTAAGATCAGAAGTCTGATTGTTAAAGATCTAGCAGTTATACACGTTTCGTGAGAGCCATTTCTTTACTGGTTCACAGTAATCAGAGCATGATATGATGTCAAAATCTATTATAGACATTCAACACAACCCGTATGGAGAGTTCCTTCCAACGCATTTCCGCTACCCTCTTCTTCAATGTCCAAAATACTTTCTAGTCATGAGCTCATTCTTATCAAATTTTGCATGTCATTTTATCTATAGGTGAGATTCTCAAGCCTGCAGTATTGATTATGAGAATGCCTAGATGCAATACCCATCATGCCACACGAATAACAACAACCCGATCTATTCTCTGTTGTGATCAGACTCCGTTTTTTGAGTCGGAATATATCCAACCGCTAAGCACCGATGTCAAGGACATTTCTAAACTCATGCTTCAAGTGAGCGGAATAGAAAGAAACAAGACGCCGATGGGTGGTAGCCACCAAGTACGAACTTGTGAGTCACGGCGTTTCCATTGGTCAATATCCACACGGAGATTCAGAGGTCATGTAACCGTACTACAGTATATGCATAATGCCTAATCATATATGGCGTAATTATTGTCATATCGTCATAGTATAGCAGTCGAGTTAGCTGGAAACGGCATTTGAAGCTTTTGACGATTTCCGTGGTGAATGGGGATGATATAAACATATATAATGGAGTAGAAGGTCAAATAGATGTGCGCATTCCATAGACAAAAACCATCATTCACAAGAGCATCAAGAGATACCATACGTTTCTCTAAAGTGAAAACTATTTTACTTCAGCATAATAGCTGCACGACCAAATAATCCACCAAAGCAAAGCAACTATTGCTATGCCTCACGTAATCGAAACAGAAACCGCTCAAAAGTCATTTTACCATGAGATGACCTTGAAGGAATCCCTCATCGCACGACACTCAAGTCGCGCCTTTCTTCCAACTCCAGTCTCAGAATCTATTATTCAATCTACTCTAGACCTTGCTCGCTTCGCCCCCTCAAATTCAAACATCCAACCTCATCGTCTTTTCCTTCTCACAGGCGAGCCTCTCGAAAACCTCAGAACTAAGTTATTCGCCGCCGCCTCACAGTCGACCCCTAACATTCCTCCTCTCCCTACCGAATACACTCACTACCGCTCCGAACTTGGGCTGCAAGTCTATGGCGAAGGGATGGGTATTCCACGATCCGATTTGAAAGCTCGAAATGCGGCCGTTCTTCGTAACTATCGGTTTTTCGATGCACCAGTAGGGGCAATCGTGTGCATCGATAAATGCCTGACGAATGCCGACCGAGTGAGTGTCGGTATGTGGTTACAGAGTTGGTTATTGGCGCTTACGGAGAGAGGAGTCGGCACATGTGTACAAGTTTGTCAAACAGGATATCCTGAAGTGGCGAGGAGGGAATGTGGGATCGGCGACGATCTGGAGATATTGGTGGCGGTCTCAATCGGGTATGAGGATCCTGAATTCAAGGCTAATCGGTTGAGGATTGGGAGAGAAGATGCTATGAAATATGTTACCTATATCCAATAGAGCCTCCAGTCCTTGGGAACATTGAATTCGCTTGGAACATTGAGTTTATTTAGAGTGTTAAGATCATTTAGAATATTGGGAAATTTCAAATAAGACTGCATTTCGGACCCTTGAGCACCTTGCCTTCTTGACGTGATGTCATTCAACCATTCTTAGCAGTACCATTGGCAATATTCATCACAGAGTGGAACCGCAAAAACCAGAAACAGGTGTCCTTATGCTTGCATCATCTTGAAAAGTTCAAGTACAGCATTCTAACAGATCCATGATCATTTGCCCTATCCTGAGTTGATGTGGTGAGGTTCTAGACATTAATGTTTTCTAAGATTTTTGATAAAAATTGAATCTATAAATAAGTAATTGAAGTTATATTGGTAGAGTTGGAAATAATTGAATATTTCGAATTTCAATTTAGATGAAATTCGCGAAGTACAAAAACATCGTTTTTTTTTTTTTTTTTAGAAAGACGTTAAGCATATGAGCGCAAAATAAAATCTAAATAGATAATATTTGAGAAATACCCTTCAATCTTTATTATTATCAAGTTATATTATCGAAGTAATAGACCTTCGGAGGACGAGCTGCAATGTAGGAACTGAGGTGCTCTAGAAAAACGATTCGAAGAGCGTAGCGAGGCAAATTAGTTATTACGATAAATCCTCCAACTATTTCCTTGATTCTCTATAAAATATCAAGATTTCAAAGGCCTTAGTTCCTTAGCTCTTTACTAGAAGATCACTCTCCTTCCCCCCGAAGCCTCTTATAACTACTTAAGATGCTCTTGATCCTCAAGAATAAAAGATAAACAAATCGATCAAATTATTCTAATATATCTTTTCAATACTCAATTCTATTTCACTACTAAGATCACTCTACTCGGGTACTATCCTCCACAATAATTAATTATTAATCAAAAAGAAGGCTTTCTTTTAGAAACAATTTCAGCGAAGTCAATAATCAAGACTAATAATTGTCAGCTTAAAACTAGTTATTCTAGTACGAGTATAAGAAGAGTTTTTGGGAAGATATTCTTCTTCTCTTCTAATACTCTTCTCATTTACAAAGACCTCTTGAAGAGAAAGTCGATAACGAGTCAAAGCCTATTTATTGTTAGTAACATTCTATGGTCAACTTGTGAAAAGTAATACTATTAATAAATGGATTTGTAAGTAATCAAGATCTAAGATATTGTTATCATCTTGTCATAACCCATCTTTGTTTCGGATCCCGACGAATCCACATATAAACACCATGACTGACAAGACATTTTTCATGACTGTCTCAATGCTTGCCTGGGTATTCGGTAACTTGGTTGGCATGCTTCTCGCCATCGAGTCGTACAGTTACCGCCTCGCCGCATCCGAAGCTGATATGCGGGCGAAGATTCTCCGGGACCTCTTGAACACTCCGGCAGAGAAGCGATCCGAGCGAGTTTTGGATCTCTGTTTCTTTGCCATCACAGATTATATCACTCCCCGAATAAGGCCCCGTTTCTTCACACTAGCCACAAAATATGCCGATTTTAATAATGAGGAATTACTGCAGCATTTGGAAGAACGAATGGCAGCAGCTGCCAAAGGATTCGGTATGGATATAGGAATCGGAAGCCGGAGCTTGGTGCCTTTGATAAAGGTGGAGGGGAAACAATTGGTGAAAGCAATGAAGAAGAAGTGCAAGTGGTGATCCAGAAAAGAACTTGAGAGTTACGAGGAACATCATCTTCCGGGAGAATATTGTTCTGTAGGTTTTGAATTCGAGATCAGACTCCTTCGAAAGTGGATTGAAGAACAGAGGGAATCTAGAGGATCTAAAGAACGTGTTGAACATATTGAACATGTTTAATCTTTTGAACTCAATATGAGAATCATTCAAATATGTAGCATCTTCAAAGATCAATTTCTTTTCTAAAATAAGTTTCTCAACATCAAAATACAAGCTTTATCTACGGTTCTTGAAATTTACATTTTTTAATTTATTAGAATATACAATCAGAACTCTTTTGTATCCTTTAGATTTACTTTAAACAAAATCGTTACAGAGATAATAGAGAGAATAATACAATACCTACCTACAACAACTATCCTTTGAATTCGCCGAGTCTATCAAATCCTTGAACTCTACTCAATACGGGTAGTTCAAAAATTATAGATGCATTATTCCAACCCAGTCTCTCATAATGCAACAAATAACTGACGCAGCAGTACTGAGTATCGGTTGGTGGCTTACAAGGAAACACAGCTCTACAAGGTTTGGTTGTAAAATACGAGGATGTTTGCTTGCTTTTTTAAATCATCGGCAACTGTAGATAGATATATGCCGTATCATATCATATCATCTTTTGAGATAATCTGCCCAGAATACTGTAATTTATAAGAGGTCCTTCGGAGAAAAGACTCGTCATTCATAAAGGTCTCGCTCATATGAATGAGTATGAAGCAAGCCCGAAAATTTAACAGCTCACTCAGATTGAATGATATTTCAAGCAAGATGTATCTCAGGAACCTTATATGAGCGGTTCTTTCTTATAACAATCACAGTTTTAACTCCTTTCGTTATGTGCCGGGACTTCAAGCCATTCATCTGAATTTTAGATCTTGATTTCCCCTCCTTAGTGCTCCCATCCTCTTTCCTCTCCTCTCCTATCCCGCTCCTAACCTCTGAAATATCGCACTCCTTCCTATCCTGAGAGCTAGGATATGAGAGGAGGAGAAGGGGATTTTTGTGAGGGCGAGGAGGTTAGAGAGATACTATGATTCCTTTTGAGATGGAAGGTGGTATACAGGGTATTTATTGAAATTTATCAATCAATTATTTAAATTCGTTTTCATAATCCATTGCCCAATATATTCATATAAATTTCTTCATTTTAAGTATATTCCTTCTTGTTCCTATCCATTCCTAATTTCATTTTCAGCTATTCCTCTCCACTCCTTTCCTGAAAAAAAAATTGACTACTCCTTTCTGCGCCTAACCCTAGAGGACTGTAGTCCAACAATAAGATACTCTTAACTCCTGAATATATCTCAAACATTATTTTGATTTAAAATATTGATAATATTAAGATTTTTGAAATTATTTCAATCCTTAAATTTATTTAGAAAAATAGATTACTTAAAATAATTCAATTGTTTTCAAAGATTAAAAATATTTCAAATATTGGAATCTCTTTGATTGAACTACAGTCCGGACTATTGGATACCCTGACCCTAGGCGCCAGTGAGCCTATCCCTTCCTGTCTTGCAGGATAGGATAGGAGGGGAAATCAAGATCACTGCAGGCTGAGACTCTAGGATTGTCATCGTATATGCAATGTTACGGCTTGTCGCCTCTCGGTCTCCGACGTAGGATCTTATGTATAGGGTCGCTCTTGCGATATCATGGTTTACAGCGACGGCAGTATGAAAGAGAGATGATCACTGCGAGAAACACCCCATGTAGCACTTGCAATGTATTCTTCGTTTTTGCAAAGCCATACTTGAGTGCAGTGAGACAATACAGATCAAGAGAGACAAGAGCCGTAACATGGAGATGAAGCAGTCTATCCATGGAGAAGGACTTCTACATCTTCATTGAGAATTAAAGCTTTGAAAAGTCTCGCCGACTGCATCTCAACTTTCATACGGCTCATCGCTCCATAGGTTAGGGATGGTGTTCCAGAACTGTCTGGGTAGGATCTCGGCCTTTTTGGATTTTCCGTTTTTCTTGATATTATCTCTGCTGATTTACTCGAATGAGAAGATACTTGACACGGCAAGTCTAGAAGTATCATATTAATGAGAGAAATTGCTCTTAGTGAGATATACATGATGGTTTCGAATAAATGTAAATGGCGAATCAAGATAATTCCCAGCCTAACTTCCAAGAGCGAGAATTTTGGCCGAAGCATCCGAGATCCATCATGTTTTAAGAATCACACGCGAATGTGAAGGAAGAATACCGATATTTGATTTCCATAACCAACATATCCATCCATCCATCTCCTACACAAGAAGTACCTCCGTGAGAAATGAAATCCGAGCACTTACTCGAACAGCCTCGTGATCCCAAGTGTCTGTGTACTTAAGGGTCCACCATGAAAATCTCTGCCCAATAGTGCAAGTTGACCGGAATCAAAGGTATCTAATTTGATGCCTGGCACTTAAACAGACATTCAATGATTTAGAACTTGGAAATAGGGTATTCTCGTCACGGTTCAACATGTAATCTTACCTCGGGCTTCGCGCCTCACGGCGCGCACAGAAGAAAATGGATACTCAAGATGGTGAAATGAAACAATCCTGAGAACAATGAGTGATGAATGAAGGGGCAAGGAAAACTGAATGTTATACCGGTACATACATGTATGTGCCTCGGTATGTACATTGTATCCTCCCCCTTCAAACAAATGCCTCGGGAAGAGAAAGGTGGCATTCGGTGGCTGTTGCACCAAATGGGAACTTCCCTGCACGATGTCACTGGTTCACTGGTTTTGTCCTAATTGGAAAGATCACAATGCAGCAAGCCGTCTCTGTCGCCACCATCCACGCTGATTGGATTCGCATCATATATGGATATGGATTAGTGAGGTTCGATGGCATCGCTCTATGGCATCCATCCTTGACGGAAGCCAACATTTTCACAGATAATGAATTCTCGGCATTGTGATGACGATGAAGACTTGCGACTTGTTCGTTTGTCCACATAATAGTGTGGTTTGATCGATTCATATTTTAGTTTCGAGTTTGATAGCTGTGTGCCAAACAAACTTCAAGAGTGCATGCATGATACTAAGAACCACATACATTTACTGTACGTGCTATACGGAGTGCATGCATACCGGTACCTGCACTCGAGAAAGCTATATGCCAGCGGGATATCGATATCCTATTGTATAAATATGCCCACCAACTTTGAGCCTGCATATTTCGGGAATTTGCCAGTTTGGAACCCAGTAAATCATTATACTGCAGGATACTACTAAGAGTAAATAGTCCGAGATTGTCCAGACAGTGCGCATGTGGACTAGAGGAAAGATATTAGTTTCCTCCACCGAGTTGAATAGGGAAGAAGATCCGGCACGTGGTGACTCGGACACTGGATTAAAGATTAATGTGGTGTGGATGAGCGGAAGATAGCACAGGGAAGGCGCAGATCATGGATGATTCATGGGTGGGATCAGCGACAGGGGTCGCTGTATTAGCGGGAGCATCTCCAGGGTTCTCCGGGTGCTGTCACTAGTGGTTAAATAATAATGTTAGTGGTGGATCATGATATCCTTTGGATCAGAATGGGTACAGTACCAAGGTGTATGTGGTGTGATTGTTAAACATTTGTTATGAATTGTTGTATATAGGGAGAAGTTTGAAGTGTTATTATATCAGAGCTAGATAATTGTACGATGATGAGAGATGTAGACGAGATTAGTCAGGATTCAGTGAAGCGAGTGGAGAGGGGAAAGCTTTGTGTAAAATGATTATGGAAATCTTCATACCAAGAACCAGACTCCAGTTGATATCAGTGCCTGATGTGTACTAGTATAAGTAAAGGTAGTTTTTAAGAATTTTAAAAGAGGAGCTATAATTGTGTAATTTCCTATCGTAAACTTTCAGGAAAGTTTAATCTCTTTTTTCGGGCATATATAACCTTTTCTGGGGGATGTACCTTGGCTAGTTACAAGGTGCTACTGCATGCAGTATCGTTAATTGAATAGTGGATTAGTTGCAGGAGGCATATCTTCGGGTGGAAGGGAAACATGCAAATAGATGGAGCATATTCTTATAAAGCTGGCCATTGGTGAATCTTTCGAGAGATAACGATGGTGAAATGAATATTATTAAAGAGAATCTAACACTTATGACTCAAGGGGATAAAAGCCAGAATGACATACAAAGGTGCTGGTATGCTGTATGATGATTGGCACTCCTGTTGGTGTGATTGTGGCTAAAACACGAGACGGTAAGGTAGGAGATTGGATTTAGGTGTTCGAGTCATTGGCACAAGAGAGTGGGAAACTCTTCAGCCCGCTCTAGATTCAACACATGTTTAGTTGCGATATAGAATATCGGCATGGTAATTACAGTAGCTTCAGGGCACTCACCATACGATGGCCCCCGAGCAAAGCTTAGAAACCAATGCTGTATTGATAACTTGACAGACGTGACGGACTTCAAGTGTATATCAAGTTAGCTTGAAAATGACCTAGGAGAAGTAAACATTGAAACAATGAATAAAACGGAACCCTGGAGCGAGAAGAATTTTCAGGAACTTCTCAACTTGGGAACTCGAGATTCAATATGGATAGTGGACGGTGGACTCGTGGAGACTCTCGATTACGAGCGCCCCAGTTGTGAAAGAGAAGAATTCACACTTGGGTATGACGGTGGCGGAAGTTGGTCCTGGCTGGATCGCGGGGTGTGGATCCTTGGTAAAGATTGAGATTGACTTTTCCTTGTTACACCGACAGGGCAATTAGAGTATTTATGGACTTGGTGGGTTTGGTGGGTTTCCAATATATGTAGTGATATAGAGCAATTTTTGGCAAAACTTCAGTGTTATTTGGATCTGCCATAAAGTTGGGATGTACAAGGAAGGTAAACAAAACAACTATTCAAACCATCAAGGTACATTCATATATATTATATAATGAAAGAATCTAACGAAGTTTTTCCGTTGACGTTCGGATACTTGCATCCCATGATTGCCATGTTTTTCGGAAGTTCGGAAAATATATATATGTATGATCGACGCATTCTAATATGTAATGCAATGCAGGGCAGTGACTAGAGGTTCCTCGAGCTGCTATTGATAGACAGCAGTCTTGTAGTTCACGCGGTGGAAGGAAAACGTGCGTACATGTTCATCACAAACACAGTGTTGCGGAGACACCAGGGCTCGAGAGTCGAAACCCAGAGGCGCATCTGGATCCTGGAGGGGTTGACGATCGTATTTTCACAGTTGGGGCCGATGATTATGCAGAAACATGGTATGGTTGGCGTGGTTTGAGATCAAGATTAGTGAGGGTATTGCCATTTTGGGCTTGCGATTCATCGAAAAGATGCATGAAACCGAAATTGAAGGGAGATGAGGGACGGTTCACCTCATCGTAAGTCAGTGCAGTGGCATGAGTGATAAGTCACTTACAGTTTTCAGGGTCCCTTTGTAAACATGGACGACTGTAGAAGCTGCACGATCTTAAACGTCTGTGTGTTTTGTGAAGATCCAAGTTTGCAAGTTGAACTATGACCACAGTCTTTGTAACTTGTAAGTAAACGATTGTGATAACGCGAGCAGTCACAAATCAATGCAGAAGCGATGTCATATCTGTGTGTGATGGGTTTAGAGGCGTGTCACTGGCTTTTGGTTTAGTTTGAGAACCAAAACCTTCTCTTAACTATACTTTGTAGCTAATATTCAAGATAGATACATGCCGCAACTAGATATTATATAAGGTGTCATGCGAGGTAGAGCACAGTAGTGCGAATAATGAGACAGCTTTATAGAAGGACAGGAGGTTGTATTGCATTGTAATAACGTATTGATTGCATAAGCTATGCGCATAACAATAGACCAATAAGTGATGGGAGCACAACTGTCGTTCGTTTGCTTATGCATGATGCTCTGTAAAGTACAATAAAAAGGAAAATTAATCAGAGGCAGGTACACGATCGTACAGCTCGTAAGATTGACAAGTAGAGGCGATCATGCACGCTTGGACTTGCTTGCTCTCTTGAGACTTGAGTTGGCGAAAGGGAAAAGTGGATATCTTTCTGAGACATTTGTGATATAGATATCAATGAGCTTTCGAAGAGAGTAGTAATCACTTAAAGCAAGTCGTTTTGTGACTTCACTTTGAGAAGACGGCTTTGTGTGATGCATATGCTTATGCCGTGAGTGCCAGAGCACTTGCTTCCTTTCTCCGTAAGGCTTTCCTTGTCTCGGTTCCGTCGAGGGGCCGATCAGCAAAGTATAGTTGGCTCTCGAGATATCCTTTAAGTCACGGGATTGATTCCCCCTCCTCAAATGTAAACAGACTTTTAAGAAATTGAATTGACAAGTCCCGTATCAGTTGTTCACAATTAATCTCCCTTTTCTCCCATGAAAGCTTTTGGGCTGATTTGAAGCGAGTGCGGGGAATGCCTGCAATCGCATAGCTGACTGACAAAAATCCCAAGAATCCATATGCAGCCCAATATGCAATATGTGAGTGACAAGATATGATTACTAGCATTTGATTTGTTGAGCTTAAGAAAGCAAGATAAGTAGATAAAGGGAGAAACGCATTAAGCGGGAAAGGATTTAATCTTCCCGTACCGGGCCGTTGTCGCACAAGATTCGCTACCGAAGGTTAGTTTTCAGGCACGGGAAGGATGCAGTTGCACGAATCCGTGTGACTGAGGCGTCGGTGGGTTTTAAATGTGTGCGGTATCAGGCATCTTGTCCGAAAATACCTCGGACACTCAAATGAATAAAGGGGAATTGTTGGAAAGAGGGGAATTATCATTGGACAATGGTTGAAAGAAATTGAAGTACTGACAGGGCAGTTTGTGAATGATAATGTAGCGGTGTGAGATGTAACGTCAAGCTGCAGTTACTTGAGGATAATGTTTTGTAACCCAAAGATGTTGTAGGTTTGTGAAAGGCCAGATGGAAGATACAAAAACAAAACCAAGGTTCGGGTTCGGATTCGGGGATAGGATAAGATATTGGTCGGCCAAATACTCAATTGGAATTGCGAAAGATATATACTGTAGTAGAAAAGTTATAATACACTCTTATCTTACAGTTTGTTTCGTTTCATAAGGGTTTTTTATAATGATTATAGAAAATACTTTGTGCCTGGTGACGCAGGTCGGAGATTAAATGTATTTTTAATCTAATAATGTATAAATACATCAAGTATAGACATACAGAGTACTCGAAGAAAGTAAGTTTATAGTTTATTTAAGTAATCTAAGAAAGCATTCTTCTATTATAAAGAATAGTCGAAATCAAGACTATAAATGAATATTTGTATACTTGAGAATCAAAAAAGAACTTTAGAAGAACTAATATTTATTAAATGAATTACTTTAGCTAAGATATCGATCTAGATATTCAAAGTTTGCTATTAGTTGCTTCTATTGATTGCTTTTTTAGATTCTATTAAGAGGATTTCTTATCTTGAAAAAATATTGATTTTTATGCACTAACAAGAAAAGAAATCATAAGGAACTTAAAAAAGCAACGATAATGATACGACAATGACGAGTCATTACCCCGCAGGTACTGCTAAAATGGAAAGTGGCTGTTCGAACTCATTTCTTACTCATTATATACTAAGCTTTCCCCGGATATGCCCTTTTACCCTTCCGGTTTGTACTCTCGCTTGTGAAACCTAGACGCCGCAGACTTGACGAAGTAGAAGTGTGAGGTATTAACAGGTATTGTTTGAGGTTTGCAAAGTATGTCACGACATGTGACGAGTGATTTGAGGCAAATTAGACACCCTATCGTTTCGGTAAGTAAGGTGTATTGTTGTAGTGTGAGAATATTAAAGGAGGATTTCGGAATATATCACCGGCATTCATTTATTCCAATCTACGGCACTTGGATGGATGTCTCGCAATACCAATTGCCAATCATAAGCGAGAGTCAGGGTGATGAACTCGACTCGTAGATAAGATTTGTCGAGACTCGATCTACAGGATTTGTAAGACATTCTTGATGATTGAGATTTGAGATTCATGAGAAATGTGCCCCGCCATGCCATATCCCATATCCTCATTGCCCTGATCTTACCCCTGGATCTTTGATTAGACTCATGCTAAGCACGTTCTTGATCGTCACACACGGTAAACTATCATGTGTCCTCCCCCATCTACCCATAATGATAAAGGTGCCAGCCATCCGAATACCGCGGCAGTGATGGTTTCTATGGTAACTTCTCCGAAATTATGGTTGGAGATTCATGAATCATTTAAACCTTCATGTTAAATCCGAAATATCTGAGGTCTTTTGCTGTAGATGGGGTCTATTGACTAGGGTCTTGTGCATACCTAGTATGCATGATAAAATAATTTACTCCGTTCTCATGCATGAACTGAAGGAAAGTACTGTTACATAGCCTGAAGTTAAAGTTCTAAGCTGCGCATGTCGATAATTGATTTGGATGTTGTTTATGAAGCTGTTGGAATTGAGCTGATGAGGCGCGGTGAATGCATCCCAAATGCCCTACACCGGTAGCCTTACCGAAGTATCGTCTTTGAAGTTCCTGATATGATTGAATGCAGCATTGTTAATCTAGAAATGGATATTGAGTTGCAATCCTTTATTTCCGAAAGACGAAAAGAGAGCAGATCCGGCAGTGAGGTTACCGAATGAGGCTGTCAGTTTGATGATCATTTTTATGGCGTGATTATCAACGGCGCATTATGCGTTTCGGATTTGTAGTTGTAGCGAAACTTATCCCGCGATCAATCAGAGACTGTCAGCTCTACAAGCTAAGGCATGCAATACTAAATCATACTGTTATTTAGAGACTAATTCGAACTGTTGATGAAACGATTCAGGACGAAGGTATGAACATCCAAGGTACACATCCGTCGCTCTACATATGAGATGATTGCGGCGTGCTTGACCGTATTCAGGCTAAGCAGCTAGTCATTGATGTGATTGTTGACTTCAGGATGGGTGCTAATGTGACGGGCGTTCGACCTCTGTTTGAGGTTTTCCCTCTCTGAACGACTCGTAGAGAGCTTGAATAATCACGTTTGGTGTCATGAACGCTTGGCCTGTGGTCTTGCAGCGACGGTGCGGATAATCTTGAAGCTAGAACATTCAGATGACCGTTGCTTGACAACTGTTTAGGTAACTTTTTTTGATGCGGAAAACATCGTATCGCTTGTTTCGAATATGGGTAGTAAACATATGGGTGTATCTAGATCAAATGCCGCCGTTTGTATATACCGCACTTTGGCGGATGTTGTATTGCAGGTTTTATGAAATGAATCGGAGTCATGTTAGACTCGCAGGCCATTCACCAGGGGCTACGACTTTGCGAGCAAGGAAAAACCGACATTTCGTCCATCGGGACGGGTGGTAGATCCCGCCGAGAAGTTACAAGTCGTCTCCCAGGTAATGAAGCAATTCACGTCGCCTCATGGCGGAGCGGGAAGATCCGTCGCTTCTCATCGTCTCAGGTACGATCTAGAAAAGCATCATTACGATAAGTTTCCCATATCCAAGATGGATGACTGTCCGGCCGGCTCAAAAGACTCGGTTTGGAATACAAATTGGTCTAGTGATGCCGCATTGGGCTGCATACTTATGTACAAGATAGTCTGAGAGTTTCGAAGGTCGTTTCAGATATGCCCTGACAGAGACCCTGTAATAGAACCCCTTCTCCATTTCTGGTATTAAAACCGTTGATTGAAGTACTGGCGAAATTCTATTTCAGCCGTTTCGAAAGAGACTATGAACTACATTGCCCCGCGCCGGTCTCGAATACGCAAATGTGACGCGATTGATATCATACTCTACCAAACTTTATGTTTCATTTTTCTACTGATCTACTATGCGCGGCGTACCTATTTACAGTTATCAAATCGACAATCTACCAGTGGCGAGGTATTCTGAGTGAAGCTACAAACCAAATTAGATTTCCCTTTGCTTTCTTTTTCAATTACTCGAGTAGTATCAGCCAATCTCACATATCTTAGATTAACTCTATCTAGAATATAGATCATAGATCAACGAGATGAACACTGATATCATCGAATCAACAATGATATAATAATAATGGGGATAAATAAGTAGTTCGATTTTAAGATATTTGTTTTATTATTTATTATAGGATAATCCAGGTGTTCCTGCAGCACTGCAGAAGATTCGGCAAATAGGATAATTTTCGGTTTTGCTACGATTAAGACTTCAAGTTTATTGAAACATTCGGCCAATGAGGAGTTCATAGTCGAACATTACAACTCGCCTTTCCTGCCTTAGCAACGATTAACTCTCTATTATTCCCACCAAACTTTGTTTGCAAACCTTTTCTTACCTGTTATGCTACGCCATTATTACTTGATTGCAACTGTATTCCCTGCATTCGCGAGGGAACAAGGTTCCAAAT